GCTTAGCAATGGACTGAGAGTGAGTGTTGGACTCAAGGTTGCTTAGGGCCTTTATGCGTTTGGTGGTGCCCATTGCTTGAAACAAATTGGACATCCTTTCAAAGGAGTGGAGACCTTTATTGAGGCGTTGAAGTTCTCTATTATTAACACCCTTTTTTGTTGGGTTCTAGAAAGAAATTGTATTTCCATTTGGGAAATTGTTGATATTTTGGGTTCTTTAAGGTGCTTAGAGGCCCTATTTGGCCTTGTATAGTTTTTGAGGGACGCGTTCGTTCCCCTTTTGAATGCTCTTTAATATATATGTGTGTGTGTGTGTATCCAAAAATAAAAAAACTGGCTTTGTTGGATGCCTCTCTCTATGCACAACAGCTAGTTGGCAGGTCTCTATATTTGTGGACCAGAGTTCATGGGTTGTGATCTAGGAAATGCTCCTCTTTTTTTCTTCTCAAAATTTTCCCCTTTTTTTTGTTAATATGAATAAGAGATTTGACTCCCGCCATCCAAAATTTCAGTCTCTTGCTCATTTTATGTTCACTTTGACTGTTTCAGGGTCCAAGAAAGAAGCTACTTTTGGCATTGGAAGGCTAAAGTTTGTCTTTTGGGAGTTGATTAGGTTCCTTTGCTCGTTTGTGTTGAGCTCAGTGTTTTGGACTAACATCTGACAATTCAACAGGCCTGTGTTTTAACTTGTGCGACCTTGCTTTAATTAATTGGGACTAAATTTTCTTTGACTGTTTCAGGGTCCAAGAAAGGAGATACTTTTGACATTGGGAGACTGAAGTTTTTCATTTGGGTTTTGATTAGGTTCCTTTGCTCGTTTGTGTGGAGCTCAATCTCAATGTTTTGGACTAACATCTGACAATTCAGCAGGCCTGTGTCTTAACTTGTGCGACCTTGCTTTAATTTATTGGGACTAAATTTTCTGTTATATTGCTGGAAGTGGCTTCTGTGAGCTTATCATATTCGAGAGCTGTGTTCCAACTTTGGTTAGGTCTGCCCCTCCGTTTCCATTCTATTTTCAAGTCTTTTAATGTTATCTTTTTTGATAAAACCAATTTGTACTTTAAAAGTGTCATTTTGGGACGAGGGGAAAGGAATTAAATGTTATTAGGCACTGTAATAGTGATAATTACACTGTCCTTCATTTGACATTTGCATTACTACAATGCAAATTTGCATGAACATATTTTGAAAGTGATAATTACACTGTCCTTCCCCGAGATGTTCTATTATTACACTGTTTTCATTTGATACGATGCCCTAGCTTGAAGGTTGGCATGTCATAACAGTTTATCAGCCCTCTTTCAAGGTGAAATACCAAAATTACCCAAAAATCAGTGCAAAGACTTTTGCACTACCACTATTTAATTTAAATGTACTTGCATACTCTAATTGGAATGATGACAAAACCTTCCAATGCCTTTCTGTTCCCGTTTGCATTTGATGACCCCACTGGAGGTCTAACAAGGAAAACCTCTTTAAACTCCCTTACTAATATAGAAAATAGGTTGAGAGAGATGGCTACTGAAGTGATGATGAATTTGAATTTCTTCTGCAAAATCAAAAACCTGGTGCAAGTTACATTTGTTTATTTATTTTACATGATATCTGGCTTGTACTGCTTTCTGCATCTGTTGTATGCAACTCAAGTGGTAGAAGATACAAATAAATCTCCACTTGTTGACAGAAGGGGGATTTAACAGGGTACCCAATTAGTTACTTGTGCTTCAAGTTTGAAGAATAATAAAAAAGAAAGGGCAGCTCTGGATCGAGATCATGGTTCTCACCGGGCAATATCACGACGTTAGGGCTCATTGGCTTGGATCTGTGGTGGCAACGGTGATTAGAGAAGTGGGGAGGAAGGTGGAGTCGGAGTCAATAGGCTGAGGATGGTGTGTATCTGATGGTTTGTGGAGAGACTGAACTGATGAGATTAGAACTTACTGGGTTACAAGGGTAAACAAGCAAGGAGATGATAAAGTTGTTTTATTATAATTTGGAGGTGGTGGGTTTGAAACTAAAAAAACAGTCTCTTCCGCATGCGAATGTAAGATTGCATCATCTAATACTCCGTGAACCCACCACAATAGTGGAAGGCTCTTGCGTTGGATTTGCCCCTTCTACTCGCAAGGGCGAAGCCAAATTTTTTTTTTATTTGGAACACCAAACTATTAATATGAAATTAAATTTTAAAATAAATATATATTAATTGTAGAAAAAGAATATCATGTCCATAAAATGATATGAGAAGAGAAAATGGATAGAAGAACATTTGACAGCAAGTAAATGAAGTCGTCAAACATTCTTTCTCCTTTTGTGAATTCATAACAAATTATATATAATTAGTATTGTAATCTTTTCTACATGTTAGTGATATATATATATATCACTAACATGTAGAAAAGATTACACTACTAATTAACAATTTTAATTTTCTTACTAGATTTAATTTTTTTAAAGCAAGACGAAATAGACGTTGAAGGGGTCACACAAGTCATTCCTTTTGCAGTGACTAAACAAAATCACTAAAAAAGCAATTGGCCTTTTAAAGTAAACCAAAGAAAGAAGAGGGGATGTGTATGGTGGAGGGAACCCTAATAGATTCGATTTGGGAGAGAGATACGTAGTGGGTACTGGTGGCGGTGGGAGGTACAGAGAGACATTGGAGGCCAATACTCTTTATGGCCTCTTGACAATACTCTTTGCCACGCTAAGGTGCTGTTTGAAAGCGGTGCTATTCGAAAACTCAATTCAACGCTTATTTCTGAATGGATTAAGCATTTATTCAATTAATTATGTTTGGTAACACAATTTGAATATCATTAAAAATTGTAACCACCACTTAAAATAAGGTAAAATTTTAAAAGACAATACATCATTTATCACTGAATGCACGCTGCAAATTCAAAAATATTTAGTTTTTAATTAGCACTTAAAAACTTTAAACACTTAAAATTCAATTCTTATAATTTTTCAGTACTTATTTTTCAATTTTATCAAACAATACCTAAATGCATAGGCAATGGAAACCACATGTGAAAATCCATACTTCTAAGGAGTAACCCCTCAAGAAGTAACCTCCTCTCACCGGCCTGTAGCCACAATATACTGCTACAATTGTGCATTTTCCTCTGTCTTACCCTCATCATTTAACCTGGGACGTTGCCACATTCCCAAGTATATTTGCCACGTGGCTTAAATGGATTCGCTACTATAACACTAACCAAGATAAGATTGGATAAATTATTAAATTGTTCTTATCCATTTCACACTTGTTGACTAATTCAATGAAAGTCAATGCTAAAATTTCTTTGTAGGACAATATTTAGTCCTTTATCCTTATCATTGATGTAGACAAATAGCAAATAAAAAATAATGAAGTATTTATTTACTTACCAAATCAAATATGATACATATATTATTTGATTTGGTAATGAAAAAAAGGTATGTGGTCCATATTACGGGACTTAAGAGTTGTTCATATATTTACTCTTGTAGGGTCATTTTATCAATTCAAAAGTTTAGATTTAATTAGTCCACCAAATGTAAATGGACCTGAATTATCTAATAATTTCTCATAAGATTGATCGGATATAATTCATTAATTAGGTGCATGAACATCATTCTATATTTTACGTTGTCTAAATCCTAATCATAATTGAAATACATGACCATTTAAAAGTGTTCGGTCAAATAAATTATTTTTTTGACAGTTCAGTCTAAGTAAGACTACTAATTGGCATACAATAAAATATGCTTAAGAGTTGATACTCTCAAACCCTTAAAAAATTATTTATATTTAGGAAGAGTCGAATCTTAAACTTGATATTTCTTGAGGTATGAGGACTAATTGACTTTACCCATTTGAGTAAATCCCTTTGAGTTTAAGAGTTGTGATACAAATACTTTAATGTGCTTAAGAATTGTAATACAGAGATAGAAAATCAAACGTATCATAAGAAATGACGTCATTAATAAAAATGATATCATCCACCACACATATATAATTGTCAGATCTTTAGACTATTTATCATTTTTTATGTTTTATCACACTTAATATAATTTTTACTTAGATTATAAAAAAATATGTATCTTACCTTTTTGTCGTTAGTTGTTGGTTAAATAAAAAGTGATATTCACTTTTATTGTCCATTTTGATATATATTTTATTCATGAACATATTTCTTTTTTAAAAAAAATAGAAATTAAGGTAATTTTGCATATTTATTTAATCGATAATTAAATGGTTAAGAAATTTGAAGGGGTGAACCGTAAATTCAGATGTCCTGAGTCGATGGGATAGTTAAAAGGTTTTCGTTTAAAAAAGAAATGGTCCTCACGAATTGGTGAAATTTGAAACCGAATCGATCCGTTAGGACATTCAATCCAAACCAAATCAATCCGTGAAATAACGGATTGGATCGATTCAGTTTCCACGAATTGAACTTTTCAAACAGTCCAATATGATTATACTCTATGGCCCATTAAAATCTCAAATGAGTAATTAAAAACTTATAACTAATTTTTTAACCATATATAACCACAAACTTAAATTACTTAATAACAAAATAGGGTTATAAATCATCCAAAAGTGAAAAATTTTAAATAATAAATAAAAGAAAAAAAATAGAAATGCAGTAAGTATATTGTATATATATATAAAACAATATATATAATATATTAATATATAACTAAGGTAAGGAATCGGATCGGTTTGGTTTTTCCAAGACTCGATCCTTTAACCAAACCGCGAATAGCGGGTTATTATTTTTTTAAACCTTCGCCGAACCATGATATCTGAAAACTTAAATGAACCACACAAATCAGATTGGTTCGGACCGGATTGACGAATTATTTGCTCACCCCTAGAATTATTGGTCGAAAACAGAATTTAAGGTTTTTATGTGTCACAAAATGATAGTATGGGGTCAAAGTGCAATTAAGTGGATAAAATATATAAAATTGCAATTAAAGGGTGGAGTATGTAGTAGTCAGACAGGTGCTACTGTTCTCCGGTTCTTTCTATAAGAAATCGAAGACTCGGAACGGTTCAGAGACTATATGCGAGAATGCTCGTGTATGTATGGTTTGTTGTCCCAACGAAAAAATTCTGTCAAACGACTATCAAATTGTTTTGGAAAGTTTAGGGTTTTATATTGCTTTGTTTTCTCTGTTCTTGTATGGGAATTATTTTTGCGAGAAAATCATGGCTATGAGAAAGTCGTTCATGGATTCTCTTAAAGCTCTCGAAGCAGATATTCAGCATGCCAACACTCTGTAAAACTCTCCTCCTCTCCCTCGTGTGTGTGTTTGTGTGTGTTTAATTTTTAATTTTTATTTTTGTATATCTGATTTTATTTGCTTTCAGTCATAGAAAGTAACGAGTATTCTCCTTTTGGTGTTTAGATTGAGAATTATGCCAAATTTGTTGTGAAGTATTATACTGCTTTTAATTCCACAGGGTTAGTATGTATATGTATATTTATTTGTATTAATTGAGCTAGCAATCTTTACTGATCTTCCATCAGACCATTATTTATCCAGTTCTGTGTCTTCTTGTTGAATTACTACTGGATATGTGAGATTTCCAATGTCAAACCCAACAAGTTTTTTTCTTCTTTGTTCATAGGTTCGTCTCAATACAAGGAGAAACCGAAGGCGAAACTTTGGTGTTTAATTTAAGTCTTCCACTAAATTAGCAAAACATTCTGAACTTGTTTGAAAGTTCACTCTATTGTTTTTTCATGTGATGGTGATTGCCTTAATTCGGTAAAGGAAGAAAATATGAAAAGGTTATGCATCTATTGGATGGGTTATAAACTACTACTACTTTTTAGTGCTTTTGAGAGAAAGCTGTGCCTTGAGTATAAGTCTTAAAAGTGAGTTTTTTTGTTTGTTTGTTGTTTTATTTTGTTTTGTGATGTTGGTGTTAGAGCACCCAGTCCACCACCGAACACATAGAATTACTCGTCCCACATGCACCGAACATTTACCGGGAAATTATGTGGGGTGGTCCCAAGGAGATTCAAACTCTCAGTCTTCGAGATGTGATGTGAGAGTCTTGCCAAGTGAAATTGTTCATAAGACTTACTCATAGAGATGGGATTGGGGATGACGTTTCTCGGAAGGATAAAAATAAGTTGGCTTAAGTGAAACGCTTGAGGAATATTATGGGTCAGCTTATATTTGCTTATATTTCTAAATTGATGGGTAAATTTTATTACTGGCAAACAATTATGTTGGGTAGTCGAGGAACATGTTCATAAATTGATGAATGACCGCGCTGATCTGTGAAACTTATCAGTGGTCTTACATATTGTTTTCACGTACCAAGTCAAAAAAGTCCTATTTGTAGCATGACCTCTTCTTGCAGAGGCAAATCCAGAATTCAAATTATACCAGTGAATGTGTTTTGTCATGTCAATCTTACTAGCTTGGGAATTTTTCATGGGCAATAGCTCTGAGACTTTTAGGTGCAAATCGGAACATGTCAACTTTTCAACTCTATAAGGTTTCTACCCCTAATAAAATTATTATTTTATGCTTACAATCCTATGAGCATAATATGTCAAATTGGTCCTTATGCAATTTTTCAATTATTTCACTTTGCACCTTTGAGCATAATATGTCAAAAGGGGATAAATGAATCTTACAAGTTTTTATTTTATTTTTTAATCTTTTGTTCTGCTTCCCCTTATTATTCCCCCTCATTATTTACAGGGCTATGGGTCATCCAAGGGAGTGTGATGGAGCATGCCTTCAGATGAGACTGTCTTACAGTCCAGCTGCTCATCTGTTCCTTTTTTTCGTCCAGTGGGCTGATTGTCAGCTTGCCGGTGCCCTAGGGTTGCTTAGAATTCTTATTTATATGGTAGGTTCCCGTCTCCTTTATACATGTCTGCTTTGTTCGTCCTTGTCCTTACATTTGTTTGTTTAGCCATTGAAGCCCAACTTCTTTCTATATCTTGTTTTTATTTTTGTGAATGTAATTATTTGAAAGTCCCTCCTCTGCAACAATAAAGTAATTCCAATATTACTTATTTTTGGTGTTGGGGTGTGACCAAGTGGTGGTCTGATGCAGACGTATGCAGATGGCAAAACTACCATGTCTGTTCAAGAAAGAAAAGCAAGCATCAAAGAATTTTATGGTGAGTAAGAGCTGAGGAAGGGAAAGTTGGATTGATTTTGAAAATTTTACTGTTGATATTTTTCTTTAAATGTTTGACAACTGATTCTTACAAGTATAACTCTTTATAAACAGCTGTGATATTTCCTTCTTTGTTTCAACTTCAAAGTGGGATAACTGATGTGGAGGATAGAAAACAGAAGGATTTGAGTTCACTCAGGTACTCAAGGAAGGACGATTTGAGCAGGGGAAAACTCTCTGAAGCTGATATAGAGAGAGAAGAAGAATGTGGGATTTGCATGGAAATGAAGAGCAAGGTTGTGTTGCCTAATTGCAGCCATTCCTTGTGCTTGAAGTGTTATCGGGATTGGTGAGCTCTTGTTTCTTGTTTGTCTGATAAACATTTTTAAAATTTTATGATTTCTGCATATACCTAGTTGTCCTAATATGGTAGGAAACGGAAGCTACTGCCTCTGGAATCTTGTTAGACTAGCTGGTAGTCGGACTGTCACGGCCATTAACATTTAGCTTTCTAGTTGCAGTCCTTTTTCTTTCCCCTTCATTTTTTTCCCCGAATTCAAATTATGAAAAAACGTATGAGAGAGGGATTTAGGAAAAGTGTTTAACGTAGTGTATCCATTCTATCATGGTAATTTCATTTTGGGGTATTTTCTCTATGGATCCCTTCATCCAGTGTGCTTTAATCGCTGTTGAGAGTGTTAGGCAATCCCTTGAATAAGTGATATCAGCTTGTTCAGTGTGGAACTGACAGACCTTCCTTGTGAAGTATGTGATGAAGGATTTTATTCATTTAATTATGGGATCTTATTTGAATTTTAAACATATATTTGGACCTGATGAATATCTTGTGTGCTGTTTGCCTCAGGCGTGGGAGATCTCAGTCATGCCCGTTTTGTCGAAATAACCTCAAACGAGTGAAGTCAGGTGATCTTTGGATTTGCATCAACAACAATGAAGTTACTGATTTATCCATAATCCTGAGAAATAACTTACAGAGGCTGTTCAAATACATAGAAAAGTTACCTCTTATTGTTCCAGAACCTCTGTTCATTACCTATAATTCTCATATGAGGTATGGGGTACTTTGACACTGGAAAGAGTCTGCATATTATGCCTGGTTGTATATGATTGACACATGAACATCTACATCGGTAAATCCCTACTGGTTTTTATTTTCTGGAGATCAACATGGTGTTGATCTCTATTTGTACATATCAACTATAACTACATTATATATTTAACTTTCTTGGTCCCTGTTCAAGTTGTTGCAATGCGGCCAAAAATTTGACTTGATGAGCATTTTGGTTCGAGTATCTCACATATGACAAATTGATGATGAACATGTACAAATACTTATCCATGGATGTATTGTACAATGCTGTGTAAGGCCTCCTCTCAATATACGGCTTTTACATAACAAATGTAGAATTTATAGTATTGTCTCCATTTTAGATATATGCATTAGGTCCAAGAATTCCCTTTGCTATGGTAGCACTGAATTGAACAACAAAAAACAGGTTCAAGTTTTACCATGTAATGTGTTCCATTCTTTAGACAGGTTATGGAGTAATTTAACTTGACCGACAGTGTTCTGAACCATCTATATGGTGTATTATGATGTTTACTAAAAGTAGTAGTATAATGGTGTTTAGAAATTTAAAGAAATGGATGCTTCTAATCATCAGATCAAAACAAAATATTGTTGCTTGATCTGTTATTGATCACTTCTCATTAGGTGACTTGTGTTCCTCTGCTGATCATATAGCTAGGTTGCATTACCGGCATGCTTGTCACCTGTAAACTTCACGATTGCTTTCAACATTCGAGAATTGTTCGTTGTTCATGTATCCAACTCAACTAAACAAAATTTTCTTTCAGTTATTTGGTCATATACATATTGTTTTATGATTCCATTATGATAGAAGATAACCAGTGTTTTTAGGGGTTTGAGTACACTTTTCTAATTAAATAATAATAAACTGAAGTTATTACAAATCTTTCAGGGAAAAAAAAAAAAAAATTAATTGAAGTTCTTACAAATTCTTGGTAAAATGAAAAGAATAAAAGAAAAACAAAATGAATGTCCAGACAGAGATAGATATGGCCATTGAATCAGGATTGAGCTTGCATGCGCATGTACTCGCCATAAAAGCGAGGACCGGTGTCCTCTGCATGAGCAGTGTAAGCGTAGCCTCCATGGCTGGAGATGTCAAGACCTGCAATTTCCTCCTCAGTTGATATCCTCAAAATTCTTAGCTTATGAAGTGCATAGAACAGGGGCCCCATTGTAACACTAACCCATCCCACAATCACCAAAACCTCAACCACTTGGGCTCCAACCAAACCCCACCCCCCACCCAACAAGAACCCATATGGTCTCGTCACTCCACTCTCCCCTGAGTCATAGGCTTGAACAACAAACTCCTCTTTTGCAAATAAGCCCGTGAAGATCAAACCCCAAGCTCCACACCCACCATGCAATTGTGTAGCCTCCAACGGGTCGTCAAATTTCAATTTTAGTGCCAACATATTGAGCCCAATCAAGACCCAAGCCGCAACGAATCCGCACACGATGGCAGCCCAAGGCTCCACCACCGAGCAGCCCGACGTGATCGCCACGAACCCACCGAGCAAGCCGTTGCACACATCTAAAGCATCCCAATGGCCCACTAGTAACCGTCGGCCGAATAGGGTGACCAGTCCGGCCGTTGAACCAGCTAGTGTGGTCGTGACCGCCGTTCGGCCCACCCCGGTCCAGTTACCTTGATCGGTCGTGTCAGGGTATGACACGAGGATTTTATCGAACGAACCTGGGTTGAATCCAAACCACCCAAACCATAACAAAAATGTGCCAAGAACCACCAGAGTGGCATTATGACCTCGCAATGACACGGGCTTTCCAAAAGCATCGAATCGGCCCACTCTTGGCCCTTCTATCAATGAGCCCCAAAGCCCAGCAATCCCACCTACCAAATGCACCACACCACTCCCAGCAAAGTCAATTGCACCAGAGCCAAACAACAAGTCGCTTGAGCTAGGACTCAACCAACCACTGGATGACCAAACCCAGTGAGCCACAATGGGGTAAACAAAACCAGTTAGGAAAAATGAGAAAACAAGGTAGGCACTGAACTGAGTACGCTCAGCTATGGAGCCACTGGTGATACCGGCAACTGCGATGGCGAAAGCCCATTGATAAAGAAAGAAACTGTAGTCATAGGAGCTACTGGGAATGTTTTTGAGAGCAAAGAATTGGGTGCCAATGAATGGGTTTGAATTGGAACCATCTCCGAAGGCGAAAGCGAAGCCGAAGAGGTAGTAGGAGATGCTACCAACAACAGCATCAACCACATTGGTGAGCATAATGTTCATGGCATTCTTGGCTCGGACAGAGCCAGCACATAGCATAGCAAAGCCAAGCTGCATTACAAAAACAAGGTAAGCTGAAAATAGAAGGTAAATGGTGTTTATTGAATCTGTGACACTGGTTTCCCATGAGACCTCCATTGCAAGCAGGAGAGAGAGAGAGAGAGAGAGAGAGATGGTTGGTGTTCAAAGAAGTGGGAAGATAGAAGGATATTAAAAAGGACTCCGTTGAAGGGTAGGTCAGTGGGTGCTGTGGTCCTCCAGTCCGTACTCAAGTTGTTGACAGTTGACAACTTGTGCATTGTGGTTCAATGAGCTAGTAGGTATGGATAGACATAAAGTCAGGCTTTTCAACCCAATTAACTAACTCGGGTCAGGATTCTATGAATGAAATAAATAGAAAAGAAAGGAAGAAATGTACAAAAGAGAGGACCAAGGTTTGATCGAATTAACTCGGGTCAGGATTCTCTCCCTGACTTGAGGACTTGACGTCATACCATCTCCTCTGCTTAAGAGATACTTCTCCAGTGAAAATTAAAAAGGCTAGTCTTTACCCCGGTATGGGGAGAGATAATTTTCGCGATTCAAACTCGTGACTTCTAAATCACAATGGAGCAATCTTATAAGATGCACCCTCTCCTCCTATGAAAACTAATACAGAAAATTAATAGATTCAGACTCTTACTATAAAGAATTTGTGTATTTTGTTATCTAAGCTCTCTTACACGGTTGAGGTAAAAAGAATTTGGAAATATGCATAAATTTTGTGCTTCATTTTTATGCAGCTTCGCTTGTTCAAAAATGAAATACTATGAAGTGGCTTCCTTAACATTGTAATTAGGTAAGAGACAAGGACTCTAAAATGAGCTAATACATGTCAAAAAGAGGATGATGAATCACTGACATGCCTCAATCTCTCTATTTTAGTATCATCCAACTAGTCCTTAAATGCATAATTCAAGGGAGTTGTAAACCTAAGATTAATTATTGGAATGATGTTGTTATTGAACATTTGAAAGTCGGTTAGTAGTTCTTTTGGGGGGAATTTATTCTTATATAAAATTTTAAAAAGACCAGGTTATCCTTGACGACAAAGGAGTAGTTAGTTTCACATGCCCTAGAAAATATGAAGGAACAAATTCATCTTGTTCTGCCGTCATCTTGGAAGCACATGAATTCCTCTTTGGGACATTCTAAATTTCTATTGGAACTTTTCATCCAATAAATATTCCCAGAATAAACCACCAGAAAATGCAGATAAAGGCGGGCCAGCCTAGGGCACGAGACTCCCACCATTGTGGGGTCTGGATTTACAGTTACACTATGGCCTACCCTCATCAGAAAGTGCAGATGTCCTCCATTAATGGATTGAATAAGAGATTGTTTTTAGTATCAATGGTAAAAGCAATGGGTCTAAGAATACCATCACATTTCAAGCTTTGGGTGCATGCTATGAAAATTATCATTGACAAAGAAAATCAATGGAAATAGTAAATTTGGTTATCATTGTACTAATTGAGAGTAACTAATGTTCCCAAGGTTTCAACTTTTGGTTACCATGCCACTTTATGACCTAGTCAAAAAAACAATATAAATTATTAAATTACTAAAGTAAGTTTGTTAATCACAATCGAAAAAGATTGAAACTTTCTCTGTAATAAATCACTTGAGCTAATCTTGAGTCCTTATCCAATGGTTGTAAGCAGAAAACAGAAATGTCAAATTTCTCAAATTCTGTTGCTTTTAACCCTGGATGAGGCAGGTTTAAACCACTGAAGTAAATTGTGAGTCCTTATCCCATGGTTGTAAGCAGAAAACAGAAAAGTCAAATTTCTTTAATTTTAATGAACTTTGATGTTTTAACTTGTTGTATTAATAAGGACTTTTTTTAACCCTGAATGGGGCAGGTTTATCTACATGAAAAATGCAGCAGTTTATTATATTATTCTTAATTAGAGGTTTCAGCATTTCCACTTGGGAGTCCATGGATGAAAATTTATAAAATTGGATGACCAAACCAATATTAACTTTATTTACAGATAATTCTTTCAGCTTTCATGGTCATAAATAAATCAATATTATCTCGTGTCCAAATCAAAAGCATGCAATTTATCAGAGGGTTTAATCTTTAAAGTAAACCATCTGATTTGGTCAAAATGACAGGAACAAAGTTGAATTTTCGTATACGTTTTCTTCATTTATAATTAACCTTGGGGTTTCATCTAAAAATAATTTTCTGACCAATTCTAACTTTAACTTGAGGCGTTAAGTTGTCCTGTACTTTTCAGTGTAGGATCATTTCACCTAATTTGCTACCAATCCTTAGTTGCATCAAAATCATGTATGTCATGAAAGACTGAATATATAGCAACTCTTTCATATATTTTCATTTCTTTTTTATCTGGTGGATGCTGGATCGATTACTAGTTCACACTTCTTTCTTTTTCCGAACTAAACTACCACCATGATAAGGGCACACTGAATATATTTAATTCCATCATGGAGCTCACATTTCGTAAGGGCAACATCCGAGTCCATGGAATAAGTCCTAGTTTTGATTATGGAGGAAGATGATGACATGGCACCAATCCCAGAACCCTTAACCTTGATCTGTTAATTCATACACTCGTCATCAAGATTATAATAATTTTTTTTGGTTAAGATTGACAAACCAGATTTAAGTAAACCGAACCAATGTCTACTGAGAGGCCTGATAAGTTCAAATCATTATGATAGCAGCTATCACTTAGTTGCAACAATACTAAGACCAAAGGGAAGCACTCACTTGGTTCTACTTATTTTCTGGAGGCATATCTACATACTCAGGTGTTGAAATGCATGATGTTGTAGTGAGCAATGAGCATGCACTGGTGCAAGATCCCTATATTCACCAACTAAACAAAAAAATTGTTCCTATACCAATAATCTGGTATTGGAAGATCAGCCGTGTAACGATAAATTTTCCCACATTTCCACATTGTTTGCAATAAAAGAATACAAAAATAAAATTATATACCAAATTAAAGTCACGCTTACCCCTTTTTTTCTTTGATAAATCTTTTGCACGAATCGCTGTGTGTTGGTGCATGTCATACGTATCACAAACTAACCTCATTGATAGCATCATAATATATTATCAAAATGTTCTGCATCTGACTTTGATTTATGCTTTCTTCCAAGGGTAGACTTCACTGTGTTAAATCCGAAATGCAACTGATTAACGGATTTGTTAAGTTGGGAGAGTATGAATCTGGGCATTTGGGTCAATTGGCTTGTGAAAGCATTTCCTGTTGAAAGAGACGTCAAGTTAGTAGCCTATATAAGTTATTCATTAAGATCATAACTGCCAAACTGGCTTCTCTTAGTTGCAAACACTTACTCTCTAAGAAATGGAGCCTCCAGTTGTGAGTTTAAACCTATTATTCTTGCTAGTCATCCATGTCGTCCTCCTGAGCTTGAAATTGTCAACTATGAATCCTGCTTTGGCTGCCTTAACAGGAAATGTCACTGATAAACTTGCACTCCGCGAGTTCAAGTCTCAAATAAGTGACAATTCTCTTGGAGTCTTGGCCTCTTGGAATGATTCTCTCCATTTCTGCCAGTGGAGCGGAGTCTCATGTGGCCGCAAACACCAAAGAGTCACCAGCTTAGACCTTGGTGGGCAGAGTTTGACTGGAACCATATCACCACACATTGGAAATCTCTCCTTCCTTCGATTGCTCGACCTTTCAAGCAACAGCTTTCATGCTGACATCCCCTTTGAAACCGGTCGCTTGTTAAGGCTTAGAACTTTGAACTTGAGCCATAATTCTTTGGGTGGGGGCATTCCAGCCAATCTGTCCCACTGCTCCAACCTCCTCAATCTTGATCTTCAGTACAATAATCTTGTACAGAACATTCCCTCTGAACTTGGCTCTCTGTCAAACCTTGTGATACTGTTCCTCAATAACAACAATCTTAAAGGAAGGTTCCCAGCTTCTATCGGAAACCTTTCATCTCTGCAGCAGCTTTCACTACTATATAATAATTTGGAGGGAGAAATTCCAAATGCAATAGCTGGAATGAAAAGTCTGATAGTTTTCATAGTGGCACAGAATAAATTTTCTGGTGTGTTCCCTCCTCCACTTTACAATCTTTCTTCTCTGCAAATCATATCTTTGGCTGTATGTAAGTTTTCTGGTAATCTCGATCCCAATATGGGACTTGTTCTTCCAAATCTCCAGATGCTGTTACTTGGAGGAAATCAATTCACAGGACCAATTCCAGTTTCGTTGTCCAATGTTTCAGAATTCCAATACCTTGACGCCCCTTCAAACAATTTCACAGGAAGCATACCTATGTCTTTTGGCAACCTACAGAACTTATTGAATCTCAATGTCTTTGGCAATCTTCTTGGAAGTAGTTTGGGGGATGATTTGAGTTTTATCACTTCTTTAATCAATTGCAGCAAGTTACAATTGCTGGAGTTGAGCAACAACCATTTCGGAGGCGAGTTGCCCAATTCAATAACAAATCTCTCGATCCAATTGACATGGCTAGAGCTAGCAGGAAACAATATTGGCGGAAGAATTCCTACAGAGATCTCAAGACTTGTTAACTTAAATCAACTTAGCTTAGAGCAAAACTTGTTGACAGGAAATATTCCCGACTCAATTGGGAAGCTTCTAAATTTGAAAAAACTATTTTTGGGCGCAAACAGATTGAGGGGGGCGATCCCTTCTTCCTTTGGCAACATCAGTCAGCTGTTAATACTTAGTTTGTACAATAACAGCTTAGAAGGAATCATACCATCAAGTCTTGAAAACTGCAAATCGCTGCAAATTGTGCACCTTTGTCATAATAAATTCAATGGCACCATACCCATGCCACTCATTGGTCTTTCATCCTTGGTAGACCTTAACTTGTCTCATAACTCCATGTATGGTTCCCTGCCACCAGAAACTGAAAACTTGAGAAATCTTGTTTATCTAGATGTCTCGTACAACAAATTTTCTGGCGATATTCCAAGCACAATAGGGAAGTGTTTGGCATTGGAAACACTTTATCTGCAAGCCAACTTCTTTCAAGGGACCATTCCTAATTTAAGTGGATTGAAAGGTATTCAATATTTAGATCTCTCCAACAACCACTTATCTGGCCAAATTCCACTATACATGGTGAACTTCTCCTCCTACTTGCAAAATTTGAATCTGTCTTTCAACAATCTTGAGGGTGAGGTACCTGTACAAGGAGTCTTCAAAAATGCAAGTGCAATTGAAATCTTAGGCAACATCAACCTTTGTGGGGGGATTGAAGAGCTGCATTTGCGCCTGTGCACAATAAAAGAGCAAAAGAAACCCGGCAAGCATATTGCTCTCAAACTTATTGTGCTGATTGTCATTGTTGTTTTTGCCTTAGCTCTGACACTGTTGCTGACTTTTGTTTGCTGGACAAGAAAGTTGCAGAAGAAACCTCTTTTCACATCTTCATTTGGGAGAATTTACCACAGGATTTCCTATGAAGAGCTCCTCAATGCGACTGGCGGATTCTCTCTGAGCAACTTGATTGGTTCAGGAAATTTTGGCACCGTCTATAAAGGAATTCTAGGTCCAGAAGAAACCACCGTTGCAGTTAAGGTACTTAAACTTCAGCAGCGAGGAGCTTTCAAGAGCTTTATGGCTGAATGCCAAATCTTGAGGAATATACGGCACCGAAATCTTGTCAAGGTTCTTACTGCTTGCTCAAGTATTGATTTTGAGAGAAATGATTTCAAAGCTTTAGTATATGAGTTCATGCCAAATGGGAGCTTGGAGAAATGGTTGCATCCAGAAGATGGGCAAATACAACGGAGGAGTTTAGACCTTCTCGAGAGGATAAACATTGCAATAGATGTGGCTTCTGCGCTGCATTATCTTCACCATTTCTCGCAGATGCCTGTGGTTCATTGCGATCTAAAGCCAAGCAATGTTCTTCTTGATAATGACCTCACCGCTCATGTAAGTGATTTTGGTTTGGCAAGGCTCCTATCAAGATCCAGTAAGAAGGCTAATTCAAATAACTCCAGTTCGCTTGCGGTCAAGGGAACCATTGGGTATACTGCACCAGGTAACTTTTTCAAGTTCCTCTTGTTTTAACAAGTTCCTATTCTTTAAAACATCTGTTGCTAGAAGAAAATTCTTCTTAATTTTACTAGCAAACGTGGGAAAAGTATATATTGGCAATCTATACAGAATAACTATCACAGTAAGAAAATTCTTCTTAATTTTACAAGCAAACATGGGAAAAGTACATATTCGAAATCTGTTGCATGAATAGTATATATTGACACAAGTACTGTTAAGGGAAGTTCTATGATTTTTGCAGAATATGGCATGGGAGGTCAGGTATCAACTCAAGGAGATGTGTACAGCTATGGTATTCTCTTGTTGGAAATGTTCACAGGTAGAAGGCCCACTGATGAACAATTTAAAGATAATTTAAACCTTCACAACCTTGTCAAGCTAGCATTGCCTGGGCAACTAATGGAGATTGTCGTTCAATCAGCTTTATACAACATAGAGGTAGGAAAAGAAACAGACAAGGCTGAGGTTTGGAGCAACTGGAGAAGTTATGAACAGACTGAGTGCTTGTTCGGTGTATTAAGGATTGGGGTTGCATGTTCAATGGAATCTCCACTAGACAGAATCAATATGACACAAGTTTCCAGGGAACTGGTTTTGATCAGGGAAAAATATTTTGGGATTGGAATGCATGGACTGAAAAGCTCACACCTAGAAAACAGGTGAAACTTCTGATGTAGTTTAAGCCATGAGGCACTTCCTACTTATGATCTAATATGGAATGAATCTGATCTGTTTCCTACTTGCAGCAGTACAACAGAGCTTGTTGAAGCCATATGAAAGAGGAAGATCATTGTGATGAAGCCTGTATGTTTATCCAATTATGTGGAAGCTGCCAATTGGGTAAGGGTTTGGCTGCATCTGTACCACATCATGAAATAAGATGCTATGCCGATGTAATTACGTTTCCTACATGTTCCTTGTTTATATTTAAGCTTTTAAGATTTGTGCTTCCCTATATATATAAAATGTATGCATGTAGTCTGTTTTTGAGTTCTGGCAAGTAAAGTATGAAGTTCATGTAAAAACCCTTTGGCGATTTCACTGTAGTGTAAATATTCATGTTTATCGTGAAAATGATGTCCCTCAGATTGGAAATGATGTTTAACATTTCTGCTTTATTTTTCTGCAAGCTTATATGAAATAGCAAGAAATGGCTCTCATTAGCATTGTCAGGTAGAAACAAAGAAAGCTCGATATTACTCTCAATAAGCAATATGTGTCAAAAAGAAGAAGAAGAGGGGTTTCATGCCAATACCACATTAACAATATTGGCTCTCAGATTTCCAAATGGGATGGACTCAACAGACAAAAACTAGTGCATAGATGTACTTGCATCAAATAGCTTAACTCGACAAGAAGTTATTTTTTTAGTCCTTAAGCTACATCAGTTCTAGCTGAGGCATCAGCAACAATGAATTTACCAATTTCTTCAGGATATGCTTCACCGGCAGAGGTCTCTTGCAGTGGATTCAGGCCAGGTACCAGAACATGACCTTCTTCACTTGTAATCACAGTCCCTCCATCATCTTCCATGCTTTTTGCATTCCTTTCCGTCGTAGCTCTCCTTATGTTTTTGCCTTCAGTATCTCTTTTGTAACCTCTGTCTCCAATGTGAAGCTTCGAGGACCCCTCTTTTGGACCACTCATTTCCTCTGCTGCAGTTATGAATTTTTTGTTTCTGCTAATCCATGGTTTGTATTTCGCATTTGCTTTAGGCATAAGTTCCTCTCTTAAGTGAGAGTGAGTCACGTTCCCACCAATATTGATCGTCTCCTTCTCAATATCAAATGTCAGTTCGTCTTCTAGATCCTCAATTATTTTCTGAAGTTCAGCATTTTCCCAATCTTCCTCGACAACTATTGTGTTCTCGGTTTGCCAAGTGTGGAAAATACGGTCAGGGCCAGGTTGCCACACAATATCCCCTGTTTCTTGTTTCAGTATGTACTTGAACTGGACTGACCTTCCAATGGGTAAATCCTAGAATATAGAAACTGTATCAGAAATAAACTCTTTTTTGGAAATTAAAGCAAACACACACACTAACTTACTTTTTTTTTTTTTGGAAGTTAAAGCAAACACACGCACTAACTTCTGTTTTAGCAGATGAAACATTTTTACAAGGAGTTCCTACTCACCAGTTTAGCTGTCCAAATGTGTCCATCTGACCAGGTTAGTGGTATGGCATCTGAGGGATTCCATGAACCTATAATAGGGTCATTCCCAACCACGAAAAAGTGCTCACCAAACCGGCATTTCTTCTCTAACTGGAATTTCACATGAACAGTCTTTGATGGCTCTGGACAGGATAGAAATCACACATCAACAGAAAAGAAGTCACTGCAAGACATGCTATGGAAATAATTGAAAAACAATAGAACTTACGTATTGTTTGAATCCTGATATTTGCAGTATCCAAGCTTGTCCACGCCTGTGTAATTCAAATAAGATTAGGCAGAATCATCTATGTGACAAATCATCTATAATGCAAAAGAAAATAAATGTGCAAAAAATATTAAACTTAAAATTATATATGTCTACCAATAATATTTTATACTATTGGAATCTTTTTTCGGATTATATAGTTTGGAATGTAAAGCAAACTCATCCTGTGCCAAACAAGACACATATTCTATTCATTCTTGGGTAGGAATTCACATTAGACTCTGGATGCCTATGGATGTTCATTGAAATAAGACCAATACCTATGGATGTTCATTGAAATTGAATTAGTCTATTACGTTTCAAGTCTTTTGGCATGTAAACAAGTCTGTATATGTTTGTCTTGACACCGATATGAAATATAATTAAGATTTTACTATTTTGTGATTTTACCATTCTTCAATTACGTTTTTTTTTTGAGAGCTCCATTTTAAGTAACAAAGACATGTTGATAATGGTTAATCCGAAAATGCATGAATCAAACAAAGAGTTGTTTGCTTATAAGGTAAGCGACAAAAAGGCCGGCTAAAACTGCATGGGAAAAATGATTTTGAAAAATTAAAAATTAAATAAAATATGGTATATAATAGAAAAGAACAAAAAATAATAATAATTCTTGACGACTATATCCATATGAGACAAAGATAAGGATGATGACAATGATGATATAAACCATGATACTTCAGCAACAATGTGGAATGTAATCTATTCATCCAATATTTATATATATGCGTGTGTGTGTGTGAGAATCAACATGAAAACCTGCATACTGTAAATCACCATTGTGTATGCCTTAAAAGGTTGGTCAAAGTTTTAGTATGTGGCTTCTTAGAAGCCCAAAGCAAAATGGCTGCAAATAGAAAAACAAACCCTTGCCGGTCTCTTGGTGTGCCACTGCAAGAAAAGAATCTCAAGAACAAATTAAGAAAAATATATATATATATATCAAATCAATTGGAACTATCTATTGCGCTCACAAAGAGGGAATTGAATAATAAAATAAGGAATCTTAAAGATCCACAAGAACCCTTTTCCGAAAAGACCTATAAAGGCTATAATCTAACGTGAAAGGTGAAGGTTCGAGTAAATTGGTCAAATGGGTTTATTAGTTTTTTAAAAAATAATAAATAAATAAATAAAACTTTTTTTGTAAAAGAAAACATAATATACTAAAAAAAGGGGAGAGAGAATGAAAATGGTACCCCTGTTTCAGATGAAAAATGAGATGACGAAGCGACGCATTGAATAGTTCTGTGTCGAAGCAAAATGGGTTTTTGAGAGACGGTAGTAGTAACACCAAATGGCCAAGGTCGGAACAAATTGGTATCAGAACATTTACCGACAAGAGTTCTTCTTGATAATGGTAAAGTTTCTTTTGTAAAGATCTTGGCGGATGATCTTATAATAAGAGTATCCATCTTCCAACCAATGCAGGTTAGAGAGAGAGAGGGGGGGATTGGTGTTGGCTACTAGGACGTGTATGTATGTGTGTGTATATATAAGATAAGAAGTGTAAGAAAATGATGGCAGCAGGTTAGATCTAATGTGGTGGCAACATCACAGTGATTCTGTTATCTCAATGATGTTGTTGTGTTGTTGAGATCTCGTTTTAGAATTCTAAATGGATCTCAACTAACTCAGATTTTTAAGGTCTTACTGTGTTTTACCGGATCTTATTTTTGTCCCTATTCCTCTGTTCTGCTTGATAAGTTAGGTCTTAGTCCTACATATAAAAATCAATTTCTTATAGGTTACATGGGTGTTACTATGTCTTAAGTAGATTTTATTTGTTCGCTAATCCACTAAAAATGAAAATCTCTCAACCTATCTCCTCCCTAACAAAGGGGTTACAAAATTTGACACTATCTTAACAGGTCTAAAATACAATACGAAATTAGTAGATTTTTATTTATTTTAATCACGTTTAAGTCATAATTATATCAACTCATTTAATTAATTGTTCCAATTCGTATTTTGAACATCAACCCGTTAAATTAACCGTGTCATAATTGTGTTAATTCAGTCCGATTAATTCCCCAATAACTATGAATATTTTTGTTATTTTAATATAAAATTAATATTTATATTTTTGTTAGTAATTATATTGTCCCAATTATCCTCATTTGAATGAATTCATTTTTCTAATTATATTTATATTTTATACTTAAGTTAATAAACTAATTATATAATCCAATTAATGTAAATAGATTAAATAGGTTATTAAACGGTCATGTTTTATATCAATTATTTATTACCTAATTAATAACAATTTGTGTCGAGTGTTCTGGACTATTCGGTCGACTCAATAAAATTATGACTTCCAAACAAGAATTGTCACTCTGAACAATTTTTTTACATTTATAATTAATTTTCTGCTCTTCAATTGTAATAGTTATGATTATATATGTATATATATATTAAAGTTAAAAGATTTCTTTTTTCAAAAGTTAATGGGCCCCACCAATAAAATAAAAAAAATAACAAAAAACCATAAGACCATTTCTCATACTCGTGGGTTTCTCCCCTCCCCCTCCCTCTCTCTCTCTCTCTCCCCTGCATCACTCCTCTCAATAGTTTTCTTATTTTTTTCTCTTTTTGCAATTTCAAACTTGATCTAGCTCTATTTCTTTGAAATTTGGTAGAACCTTATAAAGCAAAGTCAGAGAGCTCGTCGAGGCCTTCAATTTGATAGGAGCCAATCATCATTTGATGCACTCTAGGGAGTTCGAAATTTTAGGGTTCTTGGACTCAAATTGGAGATTTTCATCAATTTGAAGTAGGGGTATTCTAATCTACAATTTCTTGGCCTTTTGTGAATTTTTCCCCTTAAATTTGATCCTAAGCATGCTAAATTTTCATTACCTAACTTCTTGTTGTTGTAGTTATGTGTAATTAAAATGATAATTATGTTCCATGAGTTATTTGAGTTCATATACATGTCTATTTTCATTACAATAAATGAACATGCTTAATGTTTCATATGTTGTAAGTTATATGATTATTTATTTATTTATTTATTGTCTTGAAAAGAAATGGATGCTACGGTTATAAATAAATAAATAAATAACTAAAATAAATGAATGTTTAGAAATTCTTATTGAATTGTGATGATGATGTAAATGGAATGTGTGAAAACCGATAGTTGAATTGATAAATTGAAACACACACATTCATGCATTCATTGGGAAAGAGAAAGGGGGAAAAATATTTTTTTTGAACAAACGAAATTATTTTGGGGAAAATATTTTTTAAAAGTGTTGCGAAAACTGGACGTCTAGGAGACGTCTAGTGGTCCGTGATGTTGGTGTAGTTTAGAAGGGAATGTAGTTGAGTTAACTAGGCCGGATGCGATGCCTTGGAGGTGCCTTGTGATCGTGGATAGTTAATCAACCTTCCTTTCATGACGCCTTGGAGGTGTCTTGGGTCGGATTACACTAACGGTTTGGTTGTTGAAACGGAATTGTTTCAAAAATAGGGAGTAATATTTGCAAAACATTGCACTTCATAACATTGTGGTAAAATTGTGATTGGTTGATATTTGTTACATACTTGTTATTGTGATTGAAAATGTGTGTTTCCCTATGCCATGATCCCGTTCACTTTTTATCTATTCATTGTATGGATTCACGGGGATATAAGAAGTGTGTCTTAGACACTTCCTACTGAGCTTATGCTCACCCCATTATTTTTAACATTTTTCAGGATATGGAAAAAATGTGGCGAAAGACAATTCACCACAAGTTTAGACGAGCTTGGGGGATCTATTTTATTTTTGCTATCTTTTGTATTAGAATTCTAATATTTTATAAATATAATATTAACTATCTTGTGAGATTAATTAGTATAATGTTGTAAGTTATGGACTTTTAAATTATAACTATATTTTTGGACTGTAAATTGATGTAACTAAAGTGTGTCCCTTGTTTAGATGAGATGGGGGAACGAGACTTTTGTATGTATGTAACCATTTTGGGAATGTAATATAATATCCGTATTGTGCGTTGGGATAGGATAGGTTGAATTTAAGGCCCAGTGAGGCCATTGCATTTATTTTTGTATTTCAACAGATTGTAGAAGGACTTTTTCTGCGGAGGTCATGCCGAAATTTTTATAAATATTATTATTATTTTGGTATCTTTTCAGGTCGTTACATCAATCTTGGTCTAACTAATTTTGAACTAGAAGTTGGCTTAACCAAATGTGAGAATTAAACAAGGATGGACTATGGACTGGACGGTATAGTTCAATAAAGAATTCTGTATTGGTTGAATTTATTGAAAAAGGATTACATCTAATAATAATTATGTACCAGAAATTAATTTACTAGTTTGCATCTTTTCATATGTAAATACTGTCTTCAAAAGTGTATTCCTTATAATAAAAAATAAAAATAAATAAATACTGGCATTTATCAGGGACTATGTACCTTTCAATGTAATAATTCTCTCGGTACTAATTGAAATAATCCACATATCTTGTTTTATTTCCAGCATGATCAAAGACTAGCTGGAGTCAAGAAGCAGTGAAGTGATACACCTCACATGTGGAGGTTGGGAGTTTGTTCCCTTAAAAGAATTTTTTTGGAAAGATTTAATATGCCTAGTGGTGAATTATAGAGTGTTTTAAAAGGGCAGACACCACTAACCTAGACCCAAAAAAAAAAAACAAATAAATAAAAAATAAAGAATTCCCACCGTTAAAGAACGGGGTACAAACTGTATTGTCAACCAAGGAAGAAGTTCCCATGTCATTGCTTTCTTTATATAATCTGGTGGGAAGAAATTAAAGTCCCAGTTATGAATTCAGAGAACAAATTATAATTTCTGTTTTGTCAAAGTCAACTCTTGTGGAAGCAAGATTCTTAAATGGCATAATCGCAAGAACAGCATGAATCTTCTTGTTTTATTCAGAGCATGTTTAGTCTATCACTATCAGTTGTATGTCTTCAAGAGTGTGCAATCACTGTGACTCTCACAAAAGCACCACAGATTAGCATCCACTTTGAACTCTCGATTGGTTTGCAAATTCTGAATACGTAGCTTTAATCAATCTTCTTAAATTATATATGAAAATATATATATATGTGCGCGCGCGCCAATATATATATGTGTGCGCGCGCGCATGTGCAAGTCCAATGCTATAACACAATTGATTCATAACTCCAAACTGCAGGGTCATTACGGTTAATTTAATTGTGTAGACAGGTGACTTCAGAAAATACCTCCCTGCTACAACATATGCATTTATCAAGTTCCCATTTCCGTAGTCAAAAATATAAATTCACAAGGACTCGATAATGTTATAGCCTATACCTACAAACGAATATGATTTAGCACTGCCCATCACTGGCTTCATTTTTCCTCACAAATGGAGCATCCCCAAGTGAATTTCCGGCCTTTTTCCTCACTGACCATCCGGGCGTTCTGTTTCATGTTCCTCAGTTTGTACTCTACCAAATATGCTATACATGGAAATGAGACGGATAAACTTGCATTGCAAGAGTTTGAGTCCCACATAACCGAAGATCCTCGAGCAATCTTTGCTCTTTGGAACGATTCTTTCTGCCAGTGTATTGGAGTAAATGTGGCCGCAAACACCAAAGGGTCACTAGTTTGGATCTTAGAGAGCGAAGATTGGCTGGAACCATCTCACCCCATGTCAGAAATCTTTATTTCCTTCAAATCCTCTTACCTTTCAGAGAATTCCTTTCATAGTGGAATCCCCTCACAACTCGGTTCTTGATCAGACTTCGATCTTTGAACTTGAGCTATAATTTTAAGAAAGGGGAAATCCCAGTTAACCTGTTTTGCTGTTCCAACCTCATGAATCTTGTACTGGACCATAATTACCTCACACGAAATATTCCTCCTGAATTTGGGATACCGTCAAAGCTTGTGAAACTGCATCTCAAAAGCAACAACCTTACCGGAAGCTTTCCAGCTTCTATCGGAATCTTACATTGCTCTAGGAGCTAAATTTATCATTTAACAATTTAGAGGGAGAAGTTCCAGATGCAATTTCCCAAACGTGAAACTTGGCACTACTTGGATTGTCAGTAAACAGTCTTTCTGGGGAGTTTCTTCCTGCACTCTACAATCTGTCCTCACTCAAACTCATAAGTTCGTCTTTTAACAACTTTACTGGTTATTTGAGAACCAACACAGGCTTTGCTTTTCCAAATCTCCAGAAATTCTATTTGGCGTCGAATTACTTCATTGGACGAATTCTAGTTTCATTGTCCAATGCTTCCGAACTTCCTACAGCTTGATATCCCAGACAACCATTTCGTTGGAAGCATACCTATGAGTTTCAGCAAGCTACAGAATATGTGGTGGCTCAATTGATGATTTGAGCATCATAACTTCTTTGACAAATTGCAGCCAGCTACAGTTCCTGGATTTCTCCATCAACCAGTTTGGAGGTATGTTGCCTCACTCAATAACCAATTTATCAACCCAATTGACGCGCCTACTTCTTGGAGTAAACAAAATTTCCAGAAGCATACCTACAGAGATTGCTAAACTCGTCAACTTAAATATTCTGAGCTTTGATCTGAACTTCATATCAGGTAAATTTCCAAACTTGAAATATCTGGATTTGGTATCAAATCAATTGATCGGGGAGATCCCTTCTTTAATTGGCAACATCATGCAACTGCTGCGTCTTAATTTGCAAAATTAACATCTTAGAAGGAAGCATTCCTTCGAGTTTCAGCAACTTCAACTGCCTACTAACCCTTGACCTTTCTCAGAATAAATTGGAAAGCACAATACCCAAACAACTTAACGATATTTCATCCGTTTCAATAGTCCTTGATGTGTCTTATAACTCCTTGACTGGTCCCTTACCAAAGGAAGTTGGAAACTTGACAAATCTTGCTGCGCTTCAAAACAACAAATTTTCTGGTGAGATTCCAGGCACCCTAGGGAGTTGTTTGGCCATGGAAGAAATTTATATGCAAGGAAACTCCTTCCAAGGAGTGATTCCTTATTTAACTGATCTGAAAACCATTTAATATTTAGACCTTTCTAGCAACAACTTGTCGGGGAAAATTCCAGGATATATGGTGAATCTTTCCTTTCTACTATATCTGAATCTGTCATTAAACAATCTTGAGGGAGAAGTACCTGTTCAAGGAGTCTTCCAGAATGCAAGTGCATTTGAAGCCTTCGGAAATACAAAGCTTTGTGGGGGAATCCAGAAGCTGCATCTGCAACCTTGCCCTGCTCAAGAACCTGAGCATCACAGAAAGCATATTGCTTCGAAGTTCATATTGGTGATTGCCAGTGTTGCTTCATGCTCAGCCCTGTTGCTGTTGTTACCGACACTTCACTGGATGAAAAGGTTGGAGAGTAAGACTCATTCCGTATTTACCTTTCTATCCGAAGATTTCTTACAAAGAGCTCCTCAATGCAACTGGTGGATTCTCTTCACGTAATCTGATAGGCTCAGGTAATTTTGGTGCTGTGTATAAAGGAGATCTCAGGCAATATGATGCAGTAGTTGCAGTTAAGGTACTCGACCTTCAACGTCAAGGAGCTTTCAAAAGCTTCATGGCTGAGTGCCAAGCCTTGAGAAATATCTGCCACCGGAACCTTGTCAAGGTCTTAACTGTTTGCTCAAGTACTGATTTTAAGGGGCAATGATTTCAAAGCTCATGTATCAGTATATGCCAAATGGGAGCTTGGAGGAGTGGCTGCATCCAGAAGAAAGGGGATTGCAAAGGAAAATTTTAAACATTCTACAAAGAATAAACATTGCAATAGATATAGATTCAGTGGTGCACTATCTTCATCATCAGTGCCAAACTCCTGTGGTGCACTGCAATCTAAAGCCAAGCAATGTTCTCCTTGACAATGATTTCACTGCTAATGTAAGTGACTTTGGTTTAGCAAGGCTACTTTCAAAATTCAGTAAAGAAGCTAATCAGAGTCTGCTCAGCTCACTCGGGATTAAGGGAACCATTGGATATGCTGCTCCAGGTAATTTTCCTTCCATCATACATTTTAGAGAAGTTTTAGTTTTACTAGTGGCTATAAAGGAGCATTTTCTTAATTTGACAAGTCTAAATATATTCAGTAAACAAGGACACTTGTGTCACTAGTTACAGAAAAACAATATAGATTATTCACCAGTAACACCATCATCAAGTCCTATCTATATGTTCATCAAATCTAAAGCTTCATATGTCGCATGAAAATCCGAAGCCCTCCTTCTCAATTAGAAATACCAATTATAAATAGCTGTGTCATCAAGCATTACAGTAATAATAGAATATTATGAACTATGCAGGGTATAGAATGGGTAGCGAGGTGTCAACTCAAGGAGATGTGTACAGTTATGGAACTCTTGTTGGAGATGTTCACTGGAAGACGACCTACTGATGAACTATTTAAAGATGATCTTAACCTACACAACTTCGTCAAACTTTCATTGCCGAGCGGGGTAATGGATATTGTGGATAAATCAGTTTTTTACATGTAGAGCTAGAAGTGCATGAAAATGGAGCTGAATGTGAATGGATGATAAGCGCTGAATATTGCATATTCGAGCCCTTAAATATACGTTTGTTAGGACCTAAAGTGATACTTTTATCCGGTGTTAGACTGATTTGTGTTTATTTCGTGTTTGTATGTACTTTCCCAAAGAAACGGCTAAAACCGGGACTTTAAGATGAAAAGATTGATATCAAAGCTTACGGAGTCGTTGTCGATCATCCGAAGCAAGCTTGGAGTCAAAATGGTGAATATTGGAAGAATTCAAGTGCCACAGCTCGAGTCTAAGTCCATTGGCTCGAGCACAACAGCAAGAAGCAAGAAAACCTACTAAGGCAAAATAGCTCGAGCCGAACCTCTAGGTGCTCGAGCCATTGCCAAAAAGCTTGAGCAGGATGCGTCGGAATATGAAAAGTTGCTTCAAGAAAATCCATGTTGCCAGGGCCTCGAGCCAAGACTCAAGAGCTTGAGCCAAAAGTCAAATAGCTCGAGCCATTGCCAAAAAGCTCGAGCCAGAAACCCAACGCTCGAGCACCATGAAGGAGGGATCGAGCACTATTAAAGAAGAAATTCAAAAATATTCTAAGTGTTGATGAAAAAGACGCTTCGGAAAATATTTGAAGAAATTTGGCTAAGTATAGAAGTTAGGGCTCAAGCACCCTTCCATATAGCTCAAGCCATTGACCAAATAGCTCGAGCCGAGGCTTCTAGGCTCGAGCCATTGAAGATAAGTCAGAACTTTAAGTTGCGGGATTTGTTCTAGTTATGTCATATTTCATCCTAAATGGGCCCAAATCATCCCAGAAGACCTAAAAGCCTGTTCACACCTTAATAGAAGTTAATTCTTCTATAAAAGGAGGCATAAGGCCACAGAAAAACTCTCTCCTAGTTTTAGTTCAATTTTTATCTCAGTTTTCTGTTTTAGATCTAATGGTGGTTTTTAGGGTTTCTGTAGTTAGAAAAAAGTGAAGATCCAAAGAAGAGAAATGCAGTCCATGATGATGAAAACCACGACAACACAGATGATATCTTGCGTCATCATGAGTAGTTAATTCCTCTCTTAGGGCATTGATGTAACCCGATTTGAGTATTATGGTTCGATTGTTTTAACTTTGGGAATTTAATAATTTATGTATTTTGATTGCATGATTATGAGCAATTCAGTAATATCAATTGGTGTTTTATGAAATAATAGTTTTTTGAATAATTAATACCTTGTCTTAGATTTAATTGTTCTTTAATTATTCTCAACCTACTCTCAATGTACGAGATGGCGGCATAAGGGCTTTTTGACGTTAAGAATAGAGATCATGCTAACCGAAGATAGGTTATATAGTTAGTTGAAATTCATGAAACATCTTTCTTTAAAACCGAATTAAATGAATATTATTGAGTTTAATTCATATGATACATAAATTGTTGAAATTCCAAGGTTGAACGGTTGACCATAATACAAAGTTCGTGGTGAATTCAATCCTTAAGACTTTCTCTCTCTAATCTCTTTGCTTTAATTTAGTTTTATTTTATTTTATGTTCGTGACAAACAACCAATCAAACAATCCTTATTCTCTAAATCAAAAGCCTGGGTTAATTGGATATTATAGTAAACACTCATCTCATTGTGGGATTGACATCCTTAATATAGTTCTATTCTACAAAGATTTGTGCTATTGTGAGTGATAAAATTACACACATCAGTGGACAGATTGGGAAGCAAATGCAGAAGTAGACATACAGTGTTTGATTTCTATTTTTCAACTTGCAGTTGCATGTTCAGCTGAATTACTACAAGAGAGAATGAATGTGAGACAAGTTTCTATTGAACTGCTTTCCATCAGGGAGAAATTTCTTGGAACCGGAATGCAGGAGCATAGAGTCTAGGTCATGCATGTGAGAGTAAGTTCATGGAATAATGTTTCCTACATTTACTGATTTATCATTCAGAAACTTAGGTTATGTTTCTCTAGATAATAAGACTTTTGGAATTAAAATGAGTAAAGCTAATAATGTGATGTAAGCATTCCTCCTCTCATTTTGCAACCCCATTTTGGGTTTGTGAATGTGTTGTAGTATATAAACTTATCATCTTAGAAATTGAACAATTTAAAAAATAAATAAATAAATAATAGGATCTTTATTATATTTGTTCTCACATGGACATATTTAGAATTATTTGAAATGACGAAATTCAATTAAAGTTTCTTGAAATCCCAAGTAAATCCAAACGAATCCATTCAAAACTATAAATTTTCACATTAAAATGCTATGCAAAAAGTGAACGAAGCCCTTACTCAATTCAACTGAACTTTCAAACAGGTCCTACTCATTTTATTCATTTTAAGACAAATGTTTGTTTGGTTTTTCAGTCATCCCATTTTAATATGCATTTATAGAATTGTGTTCCCAGAGTCTAGATGGGGCACATGCATTATAAGAAGGCCTATCTTAGGGATCTCAAAACTACCTGTTTTGCATTACAGTTCAGCAGGAATCAAAGTGCTTTCAGTTGATCAACTTCTTACATGCTATTTTCCCAAATCTTATATAAGCACTTCTTTTATCGTCGAGAATTTAATCCCACAACTCTTCTAGCTGAATTGCAAATTTGGTACTTCAAATGTACTTTCAATATTGTATCTCCTACACTGTCACTTTCTCATCTTCCAACAGCCAACTTATTTTAGAGTCCTATAGGAAAAAGTGTTTTATTAGAGTTGCAATAATGCCAAACAGGCATCAAGAAGAAGGCTCTGTTAAGCAAGTTGCTAGTAAGGAACTTGCCATGTTGAAGATATATCATAAAAAAGACAGGCTAATGGATATTGCATTACTGGGGGAGTTAAAAAGGAAGATTTCTTGAATTAGAGAACTAATTTTGTTTTGCAGTCACCAAATCTTATCGTGCTGTCATACTCTACTGGTTCATTTGCCTGTGGTAAAGGTAAACTGCAGTCGCTTTCTGGTTTAACATATATAATTTCTTTCTTTTTCAGGACTTCATTGTATAGAATTTATGGCAATGTAACAACTACTAAAAAAAAAAAATAGCAGCAATTGGTGTTCTTCTCTGTTAAATTTAAACAATTTTTTGCAGAGATGGTGAACAGCAACTGGAGTCCGTAAATGCAAGGCTTTGTGTATAACAAACAATGGTCACCAATTCAGCAAAACATCACCCTTTTTTTTTTTTTTTTCATTATTAAATCCAGTAAGATATTACGTAGATTGTCACATGCTGCAAATCAGGAAATACATGTCATGCTGGAAGGGGCTGGTTTTTGAGCTTTTTTGCTATTTCGCCGACATACTTACCCTGATGAAAGGCTTGTTGGAGTTCTAGCTCAGTGGGCTGGCGATATCCATCCGCTGCATAAGTTCCAGCACCATATGCAGATCCACCCTTAACCTCATTCATCTCAAACATTCCGCTTCCAAAGGTGTATCCGAGAGGGACATATATCATGCCGTGATGTGCTAACTGTGTTACGGCTGTTAGGCTGCAAGGTAAAGAGTGGAATCAAATACCAAAAGTTAACCAAATATTCCATCACAGAGGAAAAAAGAAAAGAAAATAGACAAATAACAGTTCATAATCTCACCATTCAAGAAAAGGGATCATACTTTCTGGCAATAACTTTTTGGAGTTTTACTTTAATGGAAGGTTAATTAATGACCATCAACTTATAAAATATATTGGAAATCTTTTGGCATTTTTCGTAGGTCGCCACCAACTTGGACACAGTTTGTGTAAAGAGATGGTCATGCGGGATCAGTTCCATTACAACAAATTTGTTGTTTTATCTGCGAAGTGATAACGATTCTAGCATTACAAATTTTCATTTCGCATGGCCACTCATCCCATCAAGAGAGCCCTTGCCAAGGAAAGTGCAGCAATCTGCAGGAGGACTGCCAGATCATGGGTTACAACATAGTCATCATCAGAAATAGTAAGTTATTGTTGCTCATGCAGTTACACAAACTGAAATCCTTTTTTTTAAAAATTCAACAATCTTTCAAAGGGAAAGCTGAAGATATAAAAGTCAAGTCAACAAACCGACTGAACATAAAGTCTCAACTATCTGGAGTCTGCTAAAGCGAATGCTGTGGAACACAATACATGTATGCCACGTCTATCAATTAATTTGATCAGGTTCCTTATCAGTCCATCATTTTGGGATATTGGCACATATTTAGCCCAGGTTTTGGACTTTGAGCCTCAGAGTAGTTTTATCTAGATAGTGAAAACAAGAAGTTCTTCTCACGTGAACTATTTTCAAAAGATTAAAAAGCTTTATCAGTCAGCCAGTGAACTTATAGAACCAGGATCACACCAGCAATACTTCAAAAATAAGCATCACTAGTGATACCTAGAAGACCAAATTAGACCAATTACAATTTTAAGTTGTTTGCATCTATATATGATGACCACATTCGGAAAATTCCTCAGATATTCTTTGAGAGAGGGAGTTGAGGCATGAGCTGCTGCTTCCTTCCACGAATGACTATCTTAATTTGAAGATCAGATAGAAAATAAATAAATAAATCATTAGAACTTCATGGAGCGATCAAAGAGTGTCCCATCCAAAATTGGGAGTATATTGATCTGGACTCAGAATAGATGTATTTGGTAACGCTGATCTTCCAAAATCAAAATTTGAAAGGGGTGGACATTGTAGGAAAGCTGTAGGCCAAAAATCAAACCTATAAAAAAGATGAACTAGAGTATGTGTTCCACCCAAGCAGAGCAGGTCTGATGCATCAAAATTGAAGGAAAAACTTCGGATGCATCAGGCTAGTTGCATGATGCAGGAGGTCTGAATCCTATGGTATAATTCCTATAGGTTTACTTTCAGCGTCCTATAGGTTTACTTTCAACCATTCAGACCATCTACTTAAAGGCCAAAAGGTATCTATAACATCATTATTTTGGCGGGAAAAAGGTATCTATGATCGAACCTGGATGACTGGGCAAAGATCAAATTATTTGGAAGGGGACACCCTACCTTAAGAAAGTGACATCACCTCCACTTTTATATTAATTTTGAGGATACAAATTTGGAATCAATAAATTAAGCCTTTAAACAATGCCTGAGAATATGAAGTATGATAATTATATAGAAAAAGTCACTACACAACCTTGGAGGTCATTCGTTTGTCTCTGCAAAGTGATAACAAGCATGAAATACGCTATGTGTCTGCAAAATGATAGCAAGCATGAAACATCCTGCTAGTTATTATATATTCACACATAATTCAGCGCTGGGAACAACCAAAAACAATGGTTTAGTCCTGCAAGTCTACAAATAGTCAACAGAATAATAAACTGAATGAGGTTCATCAATTCAACGAAAAGAACTTATATGATCTTGCTATCTCCAATGATATTGCAACAAACTAGAAACAAAACATATGCAGGATAAAAGACTAAAAAATCTTTTAATCCTCATAGTTGGCTGATAAATCAAAAATGTTATATTGCTATACTAATGATTATGTTCCATAAAATTCAATATTTATCCGAAATTATATGGCATTGTTTTCTATATGTATATTAATTATGAATAGACAAAAAAATCCAATCAGATCCACTCATATTTACTTTGATACTAATATGAGATGATATCGAGTGAAGGAATCAAATTTGCAGGTACTAAATAGAACGGCAATATCCCCATCAAATGAGTTTAAGTAGAGAAATTGCAATGACTTTGTACATTGCTACACAATAACTAAAAGAAGACTCCATAAAGGATGAAGCAGTGGACGATGAGAACTCACGCAGTAAGCTCTTGGCCTCCACCGTGGAAACCAGTACTCCAGAAGATTCCAGCAGGTTTGCCAGCAAGTGCTTGGGTCTCCCATAACTCATGGGTGGCATCAAAGAAGGCCTTACATTGAGCTGCCATCATGCCGAATCGAGAAGGAAAGCCAAAGATAAAACCATCCGCCTCTACAAGTTGTTCAGGACTAATCTCTGCTACTTCGTTCGCTTTAGGAGGGGCCTTCATCTTTTCCAATACTTGGTCAGGGAGTGTTTCAGGTACCTAATTCATTCCAATCACATTAAACTCAACCTACACCGAGAGCATTTCTTGTTATTACATAATAAATACACATTCTCAGGATGCAATATAACAACTAAGAAGTCATACCTGCCAAAGTGTGGCTTCAACCCCTTGAACCGTATTAGCTCCTCGCTGTACTTCCCGTGCCATGATCTCCACATGTCCATACAAGGAATAGTAACTGAACACCATTGAGATTTCACATCCATAGCAATTCAGGGTAGGATTGATATAATGAAGACAACGACGACAACGACAACGACAACAACAACAACAACAATAACAACCAAGCCTTATCTCCCAACTACTTGGGTCGGCCACATGAATCCAATGTTTTCATTCTGCTATATTTAAGGCCATAACCTACGACTACTACAAGAATTCCATTCCAAAGTCAAAGCAATTATCCGGTGCAGTAAGAGAGACAGAGAGGGGGTGGAGGGGATTGTACTCACATTATGTAAACCTTGGTGGTGGCCATTGTTGCAGTTTGAAGGAGGGCTTTTGACACCAACCCAACAACTGACTATTTACGCAAAACACACTAGCACAACTGCAGCACTCACCTTGATAAGCAAATGCAATCCACATAATGCATGAATTAACATATTTGTATCACAATTCAATTTCAAATTGATAAAAATTCAAAGTAAAGCAAACAATCCCAATTATCATATAAGCTCAACAAGAATACCCAAATCACAAAAAAATTAGAAAAATAAAATTAATTAATTAAAATCACATATCATCACTGATAATTTCTGGTAGGCTAAGTGTGTGTGTATATATAAATATATATACAACTTTTTTTTGTAGATGGTTATATCAGATAGATAGAGGGCGTGCAATCTAACGGGAAAAGAGGTATCACCTGCTCAATATCGCTTTGCCAAAATGACTAATGAAGCGTTAAGAATGAGGGCGCTCGTGAACCAAACAACCACGTTAAGAGGTTTATTATATGACTCGTTGTTATAACTTATACACATTCTTGTCCATATCTATATGCTCAAAATTCATTTCACTATCCGCCAAATCACGAACATGACCCCACAAGCCTTATGTACTACATCACCACACAAGCCTTATGTACTAGTGATCGTGTTTTTTATCCACAAGATAATAAAGATAAAACTTTCCGAAAAATAATAATAATAAAGATAAAAGTCTGACAAGGATTGAATTTAAATAGAAAGCGACACGCCAACATGCTATATATTTTAATATTTTGTGAGATTCTTTGTCCCCACAATTTAAATGCTCCCTCAATTTTTTTTTAATTGTCACTTCCGAACCATGACTCACAAAGATTCATTGTCCTCCAACAATTAAAATAAGACAGAAGGACTACTAATAGAAGTAAAGATATATTGTCTGTTTGCCTGAATTCTTTATTTTTTATACGTGTATTAATTATTTAATGTCTCTCTATAATAAATACTTATTCTTACATTTTGCAGGTAAATTTTTTTTTTTTTTTTTTGAATGAATATATTCTCCGTATTGTAAGCAGTAAATATACGGAAAAAAACACTAATATATATACCAAATAAAAAACTCACTATATATCATTTTACTAGAAGACCCCTTCATCTTTACTGAAATTCTACAAATCACCCTTAACATGGACTGCCGATTTTAACCCGTCATACCAAGTATAAAAGTCATTATAAAATTTAAATCCTTTTTCTCATAACAAATTACAAACGGATTGATAGAATCTCCTCTAGTCGACCTTTTAAGTGTAAATATTTAATAATGCTATAGAAAGATAAAAGACAAAATCATCATTTTATAAAATTTATTCTGCCCACAAAAAAATAAAAATAAAAATAAAAAAGATGCCAGATCTCAGGTCATATCCGTGTATAATTTACCCAAATTGAAGAGAGGTCAGTTTAATTTACAGGACAGAACAATTTATAACTTGTTGATATGTACCTGTGTGATAAGTTGATAAAATATAAATAGAGATGATCACACAAAGAAAAATGCTTAAAGTAGCACATGCTAAAATATCAAGCAAAAAACAAAATATTAATCCCGTTCATCTCAGATCATTTACAGTTCCATTTTTCCATTTCCAATGATAAACCATCCACACTATGTCTTGCTACCTCTATGAACTACATAGAGAGAAGGAAAATGCTTTGCAAAGCCCTACACTAAAACCAAAGTGTTGGGCTGAGAGCATAGCCCAACACTTCAACCGGAGCGTTGGGCCAAGGGCATAGCATCCCATGGCTGGGATGCTCTCTGCCAAACGCTTCGGTTGAGGTGTTGGGCTTGTATAGAATTGCTCTGGAGAAAAACAACAAACTCTACAGGCAGATAAATCTTTATCATTTCTCTATAAATGATGACTCGGCAAGTTCAATAGCACAGGCAAGAGCCGCAGCTTTGTTCTCACATTCTCTCTGTTCCTCAGCAGGTTTACTGTCAGCCACAATACCTGCCCCAGCTTGAAGATGAGCGACCCATTCTTTCCGCCTGTTCACGTCCTTGTACGAGTACATTGTGTCGAAACGCAATCCAGTTGGAAATACAATGGTTCTCAAAGCTAGGGCAATATCCATATCACCAGTAAAGGAAATGCCTCCAAATCCACCGCTATATGGCCCACGCCTCGTGACTTCCAGCTGATCAATTAATTCCATCGCTTTCACCTATATATTGCAGAACATCCAACGATAAGAACCACTTAAAAATGCAATGTTGCAAGGTAACAAAGATAAATATATCACTAGCATATATATTTATAAACCCATACTAGTGTCAATAAGTTGTATATTGGACCATTAGTACGAATAACTATCAAATTCGCCATATGGTCAACTGATAAGACGTTCTGTTGGAGGCAACATGAAGGATTGATTCCTTCTAATATCCAAGATTGCCTTGGAAATGTAACTACCAAAGAGCACTTGAAAATACAAAAACTGCTTGGGCATAGCAAGGCAGGTTTTGGAAGGGGGCCTTTCGCTCAATCATAACCCAATTAAGTTAATCTTTACCTTGAACCTGTTCAGGTTAATGATCATTGTACAACTACACATACGCCATATCCACACATTCCATGCCCAAAAATCTCACCGTAATTTGATAATTTTAAAATATATATATATATATATAACCTACCCACCATAAAGGCATGACTTGATATATATATATATATATAACCTAAACTCACCATAGAGGCATGATTTGTATAGGCTCCGCTCTTGAACGTACTTCTTTCTTCTTTTTTCCTTGTAATTTTGAAAAGTTTTTTTTCCTATTTATTAATAAAAAAGTAACAAAAAAAATCATGATATAAAAAAGCATAATAAAAATTTTTAAATATAATATGTTTCTCAACCTCACAAGCCAAACCTTCTCACGAGCAAGCTCGAGCCGAGCCCCAGCCTGAACCCAAGAACAGTCTCAAGCTCCTTTTAATTCATTGGCAGCATTACTGTCAACTGTTGGACTATGTCTTAATGTTCTTCATAGACCTCGCGTCCGCCTGCCGGGTGGTAAGGCACCACCCTGTTGTGCCATAGATGTTTTCATGTTCCCCACAACTACAAGCTGTAACATGAACTGCTAGAATAAACCACCTCAACTGGCTAATAATGATCCAAATCATCCTCATTTAATGAACATCTCATACTTCTCAAAAATCAGACAAAATCAGTAGATCAGAAGAGAATGTTCATGAGTACATCCAAGAGGAGTTCTGTTGAGGAAAAGACCCAATAAATGGAAGACATTAACATTTTTGCAAGCAGATTGCATGTACCAACAAACCAGTGCTAAAGAAGTCCATCACCTTAGGAATTAGGCATAGTATGCCTTTGCACTAGGGGTGCACAAAAGAACCGTGGAACCGTGAGAACCGAACCGAACCGTGGGCTTCGGTTTTGGTTCCGGTACTGGTCCCGGTTCCTAATTTTAGAACCGTGAGTGTATGGTTCCGGTTCCAGAACCATTGGAACGGGTAAGAACCGGAACCGTATATATATATATATATATATATATTATTAATTACTTACAGCTCAGTAGTCAATCCTATACCAACTAAAGTTACTAAACAGTCATTGTGAATGATTGATGCAGAGGTAGCCACGTGGTCCACACTAAACCACGTGGTTCTCATTTCACAATTTCATCAGTCAATTCACAATTTCACAGTTTTCACTCATTCATCCTAAACCTAAGTCTCATCGCCCCCATCTCAAAGGCTCAAAGCTTCCTCATCGCCTTCCTCATCTCAAGGCTTCCTCATCGCCCTCCCCAATCTCGAAGGCTCAAAGCTTCCTCATCGCCCCCCCTCATCTTCGTTTCTCACTCGAGTCACTAGGCTTCTCCGATCTACACCCAGTGACCCACACACCATCTCATCCTCTCATTTTCTCATCAATCAGCGACAGAAAAGTGCGACACGGTCACACCGTCACACGACTTCTTCGATCTACACCCACATACCATCTCAGTCAGCGACACAACGAAAAATACATACTATTCCTTCTTTTCTATCAAATCGCCGGCTTCATCGTCTTCCTCAATCAAGCCTGTGAAGCAAACAATCGGTTCTTGTGGAACCGAACCGGTATTCATGGTTCGGTTCGGTTCGGTTCGGTTCAATACCTATACGGTTCCGGTTCTAATTTTAAGAAACCGTTATGAATGGTTCCGGTTCCGGTTCCAGTCGGAACCGTAAGGAACCGAACCGTGTGCACCCCTACTTTGCACCTTCCAGTTGTACTTGCAATATTAGATAGCTTTGAGAAAACTGCACTAATACGAGGGATGAAAATTTGAAAGAATTGGAAGGTACTAAGGATAATGAAGGTATATCAGAAAAAGGATGGGATCTATTTTGTCCTTTTGCCTGGTTAAGATAGGAGAGAAGGAATGAAGGAAAAGTTTGTTTCATGATTTTATAAATATATCTTTACATTTTAAGAAAATATGGTATTCGAGGCAAAAAAAATGTAAGAAACAAAATTTGAGAATACTTTTCCCCTCCTCCTTTCTTCCACCCTTTGGAATATGGTGAAACCAAAGGGAATTGCTTTCTTCCTCTATTCCCTTCTCTTTGCTTCCCCCTTCCCTCCTACCAAACAAGAAAAATACTGTATATCGCTCTCTTTTCCCTTTTCCCTTTTCTCTTTCCCCCATTTCTTTTCTCTCACTCTTTCTTGCTACCATATATAATAAGTATTGGAATGTCTAGTGACTTCACCCATATTCAGGAGCATAAATAATCAATAGCTTAAACAAATTCGATATTATTTGTAAAAGAAGGAAAGTGAATGGAGACCTTTGGTGCTCCGCTAACAGTTCCAACAGGCAACGCAGCACGCAGAGCGTCCCAGCTAGTTAAATGATCCAATAACTCTCCAGTGACCTGCAAAGCCAGGTATCAGCTGCCACTAAATGTGTGCAGTTGTTAAAAGCACAGCAAAATGAAACAGTTCATTGCTTCAAATATTTTCTAAGCCTATGATGAAAAAAGCTGTGAGTCTATAGACTATAACATTATAGCCATAACAAATTGGGGAAAATGTCATAATGAACTTAGGAAAAAAGTCAAAAGAAAAAACGTCACCATGAAACCAAATATTTTTCCAATTCAGTGCTTCATATGCATATAAGCCACAACCTTAGATATTTGTTTCCCCTTAAAAAAAAAAAAAAAAAATTTATGATGGGTCTTTCGTTGTTCAAACTTCCACACAATATAAGCAACATTTAATTATTATCTATATCCTCCTCCATTCACATATGAATACAGACGCCCATGTAAAGAGAATGAATAAACACTTACTGTGGAGCTGATGTGCATGACATGAGAATATCGCTCAATGTTCATAAGCTTTTCCACTTTCACAGAACCAGGTTTCGAGACCTGCTCAAATGGCCCTGTTAGTTACAGGATAAAAGCAACGATATACAAGCTTTTCAAGAAATGCAGTTAATCGGGAAGAAATCAAAGAACTGTGCTGGTTTCAGGATAAAGGCAAACGTTAATTACAAGATAAAAGCAACGATATATAACCTTTTCAAGATATTCAGTTAGTTGGAAGAAATCAAAGAACTGTGTTGGTTACACAATAAAGGTAAACATATAAGCTTCACAAGAAATTGAGTCAATCATAAGAATTAAAGACAAGGAATAATTAATATAAGGTGGGGGTAAATTACACTTCCCTAAGGTTAGCTTTTATTACAAGACTAACCTGTCAGGCATAGTTTTGTAACAAATTACCCCCTCCATTAACGGTCAACACCAACCAACAATGGTCTAATCCTCTTTCTGTTTTATGCGATGATTTAAATACCCTCATTGTAAGTAAAATTAATTGACAAAATGCCCTTACTTTATGTGTACAGATCATTCATCTCTCCTTCCTCAATTCTTCTTTCTTTCAAAAGCCCTAATATATATATATATATATATAATGTATAATATATATACATACGCTATAGGTAATATGTTATATATATATATAAATATATATATACGCTATAGGTAATATGTTATATATATATATAAATATATATACGTGTGTTTATAAGAATCTGCCTGTGGAACAAAGGCAAGACTTGGAGGATGGGTGAGGTTGAGATTGGTTGAAGATGGGAACAAATGGAAACTAAAACGCGGTCAACACCAACCAAAAATGGTCTTATCCTCTTTCTGTTTCATGCGATGATTTAAATACCCTCATTTTAACTAAAATTAATTGACAAAATGCCCTTACTTTATGTGTACAGATCATTCATCTCTCCTTCCTCAATTCTTCTTTCTTTCAAAAGCCCTAATATATATATATATATATAACTATATATACGTGTGTGTTTATAAGAATCTGCCTGTGGAAAAAAGGCAGGACTTGGAGGATGGGTGAGGTTGAGATTGGTTGAAGATGGGAACAAATGGAAACTAAAACATGGTGGGGTTTTTTTTTATCCCCCTCGGGAAAAATAAAAATAAAAAATGAACATGGTGGACTTTGGATTTAAGGAAAATTGGTGGGAAAGTGAGGGAAATTTGCGGGGTTTAAATTGGGTGGAGTGGAGTGATGGAAAGTAGAGGTCAAGGTTCCACATAACATGCAAGACAGTTATGGCAGCATAAGCAAGGGTGGTGCATTTGCTAAGGATTTTTTTCAAGGCTTTACTCCACATTATTAAAGCAGCGCAATGCTTAAAACCTGCTATGATAGGAACCAGAGAGATAGAGAGACAGAGAGAGCATGTGCCTCTGCTTTACAGACAAATGAACAGAGGTTAAAACAGCTTTGGGGTTTGGGTAGCTCTTCTTTAATATACAACTTGGGAATGGCACAGTGTTCCCAATTGATGGGTTGAGAGTATAATCATCTTTGGCTTCCTACAAGAGTGAAGTGATAGAAAGAGAGAGATAAATTTAAAGGTTTGATGGGTTGGGTATGATTTCCCTCTGTTGCAAAAATGGAGGTTAGCTTTGTAATTGTTTTGGTGGTGATCAATGATCAAAAACCAATAGATCCAAAGTGGATGTTTCTTGCCCTGTTTGTGAGATGCACACACACACACAAATCTAGCCATATTCATAAAGAGAGGAGAGAATTTTAGAGAGAGAAAGTAGACTGGTATAAACTATAAAAGGAAAATAATGAATCAGAATCTCAGATAGAGGACAAATCACACTTTTAAGTTGCATTAACTTCTGTTATTTTTTGAAAAAAAAATATAGAAATAAGTTATGGATAAAAAAGTCATTTTACAGGATGTTAACAACGTCTAATGAGAGGTCAGTGATACTTTTAAATTAGAGGGGAGATCTTTGTAATTATGACAAACTTTAGAAGCAGTCTGTTCAATGTACCCTAATAGAAGTATTGGAGTGGTCAGTGCAATTTACCATAAAGTATAGACAGATAAATTACCCAAAAACACACCAAAAATGTGTTGAATGGCGGAATGTATCGCCAGGACCCAGGTAACATGATATCATCTTGTCTCCCATAATAGAAGTTACCCCAAGATAAATTGAGCTCCGAAATCCAAATCCTCCTTATTTCATGGTGGAATATCAAACTACCTCTCAAGGGGGCATACACAATATTCTTAAGTGATATAGGCAATATGTAGCACCTTTCCAATAGACCCCAACACGTGGTGGGAGAAAGTTTTTTACCCAATCATTCATCTAAAGCACATCCATATTAAAAGGATTTACAGCCCTCCCCCCTCCCTCATGGACGTTGGATAAGATCCTTCAAATTAGCAGCACCTTAGGATGCATAGCCTTGAAGTAAGTAAAGGGCAAGGTTCAAACAAGGAAAGGCTTACGGTGGATACCTATCACCCAAAAAAGACAAGGAAGGGCATGGTAAGCAACAAAATGCTTTGGGGGGTAACGAGGAACCATTGTTGGCAACACATGCATTTATTATCAAAAACAACATTATAAAAGCTACGACAAGAGAGGAAAAAAAAATTCTAAAGGGATTGAATAATGTATTCATCATAAAAAAGTATTTAATATAGATTTTAATTTATCAAAAATACAAGTAGATAGCGCAAACCTAGGGATCTATCAAGGACATTCAGTGTATGACATCTCTTCAAAAAGCATTTAATAGAGATTTTAATTTATCAAAAAAACAAGCAGATAGTGCTAACCTGGGAACTATCAAAGGACATTCAGTGTATGACAAACTTCATATTCAGTTAGTGATATACTTCTTCATCATTTAAGAGTAAGTTTACACAAATTCAGCAAAAGCGTAGTATGATAAATAATATAATCAGTTTTGCACCATGAAGTATTTACATCAATATTTTGAAGAAATAAGAGTACAAACCTTTCCAACATCATTCCTTCCCAAGTCAACCAGCATAGTGTGCTCTGCACATTGCTTTTCATCATTCAAAAGCTGCTTTTCCAACATATAATCTTCCTTGGGCGTCTTCCCTCTCCTAATTGTCCCAGCAAGGGGTCGATTGGTGACCTTCGTCTGTCAATAAGAGTGGAATATGCACATCCATGCTGTTAATTAAAATTAAACTGCTGCAGAGATGCTTATGGAAAATGCAATCATTCTGCAGTGAGTATGGGCAGAAATTGGAATTTTTGTGCTATCAATGACAGAATACAGGAATAGTTGAGAGCACCAATTGCTCTATTACTCCTTTTAAAAATGGATTTATTACCTTTTTCACGCGAGTAAGAATTTCTGGACTTGAAGCAACTAAAATGCATCCTCTAGCCTGATCACAAGAAAAGTTCCAATAAGAGTTGGAATTAAAAATTAAAATGAACACCTCAGCAAAAAGTTTCAGGGAAGAGCAGACACACTTGTAAATAAGTCATATATGGACTTGGATTAACAATTCTCAATGCCCTGTAGATTTCAAATGGGTCTGCAAAAGTTCGTTGTTCAAATCGTTGACTTAATACAATCTGAAAAATATCCCCAGCCAGGATATGTTCTTTAGCTTGAAGCACTGCCTCCTTGTATGCTTCACTTGTCATCGTTGACTCCTTCAATGAAGGACTAAATGGGGTACTGTATAATTTAATTGAACCTGCAGCCAGCCTTGGGCTGAAATTTAAAGTCAAATTAAGCATCCTACCAATGAAGATATAAACAGCATAATGAATGGAGTGGATCATTAAGCATAAAAATGATTACTCACGGAACTATATCATGCACTCTAGACACTAAAGTTTCCAACCGTTTCATTCCATCATTATAGGCCTCCTCAACAGAAGAAAATCGATCCAATTGCACCCAGTGGATCACAATTGCTTTCTGAAGTTGAACAAATTGCCATGGAAAAAAGGAACTCAATCATATCTAATGAAGAAATCACCCGATCTATTAAAAAAATCAGAATTTGAAGCTATTAGTTACCACTTCATCTAAAAAATTCACAATTGAAGCTATTAGTTATCACTTCATAATAAATCAAATCCATAGATTGGAAAGATATCACTTGATTCTTGACATAACTTCACCATAGAAACCTTTCCACAAAAAAAAAATCACCATATATGTTCCTAGCAAAATAACTTGAGAACACTTAAAACATTATCAATATTAAACATAAAAAAGAATGAATGAGACCATAAAGAAATCAAACTTTAAGAATATTTCAAGGATCTGAGTCGATATCTCAACCTACATCATATTTTGTTCTCTCGTTTAGATAAAGTACATTCTTTTTAAGAGGAGGAAGCGGAGGGGGGGAGGAAAAAGTTCCCATCTAGGTGCAGCATCGCTACATTAAGTCCGCGGCAACAGAGAAGAGGTTGGAGAGTGAGAGTTGGCTAGAAGGGAGAGGGGAAGGTGGTTCAAGGAAAATGTTCCCATCTAGGTGCCCCAAAGATAGAGATGGTGCAGCATCGCTACAGTTCATGTCGTTGAACCATAGTCTCATTGTTGGGTTTCACTATGTACTTGTGTTTTAGGGAGAGAAGAGAGAGTACACTTTTAAATTTAGATGGGCTCACAAAATCTCAAAAGAAGAGAGGTGAATTTACTAATAAAATAAAGATTTCTTACTAAAGGAGTTTCGGAATTTAATTCATGGTTAAATAGTTATAAAGAACTAAACTGGTATTTTCATTATACATGGGTCCACCCCAGATTAATGACAGTTCTTCTGGAGAATAGTTATATCTAGCCAATTTTTTATTCAAAATCACATATCAAATCCTATAAATTAGTTCTCAAATCAAGACCCCAGGATTATTGCACCGTTCACTGATCAAAAAAAAAATATAGTTCTTAAATCAAATCAAATCTTAAATGAAACCTACTCAATTTCATGTCCAATTAAGGACCCTGTTGCCACACTTGTTATCCTGAGCTTTTACCAATTCACCAAGCCATGGCCCCTAATTTCCTTTCAAATAAAGTGATATAAGAATATATATGGTACAGGGAACATGCAACTGAAACCAAAATGTATACAAAATGATAAGCAAATACATGGAAAAGCAACAAATTCTAGGTTCCACATTGTTGAAGAATTAAATGTTCAAGGGCCACCAAAGTCAAAGAACCTTCTCCACGTGATCAAACACAATCACGACATCATAAAGGCCTAGATGAACGTTAGGAAGAACAAATACATGGAAAATCAACAAATTCTAAGTTCCACATTGTTAAGAAGTAAACGTTCAAGGGCCAAAATCAAATAACCTTCTCCACATGATCAAACACAAGCACGTCATAATAAAGGCCTAGATGAACATCAGGAAGAAGGAACATGTAACTAAAACCTAAAAGTATACAAAATAATGAGCAAATACATGGAAAAAGCAACAAATTATAAGTTCCACATTGTTAAGAACTAAACGTTGAAGGGCCAAAGTCAAAGAACCTTCTCCACATGATCAAACACAATCACGTCATCATAAAGGCCTAGATGAATGTCAGGAAGGTTTCGGTCATCCATTGGAGCACTTGAGAATGGAAGCTTTTTCTTCTCTACATATCGCACTGTATCATATGAGAAATAACCAACCCACCCACCTGGTCAAGAAGGAAGTACATTGCTAGATATAGTTAAGTAAATTTATAATAAAACCTCCATTTTCTTAAGACTAAACAGAATAATAATTTAAACGTATTAACTTTTCTAATTTGTGATCGCATGACTAAGGAAATTTTGGGCGAGAATCTAATAGGTAATTTATGTCTTAACCAAATCTTTTCTCTTCTGTGTGGATCTTAGATACAAATAGAAAGAAGAAAGAAGAAAAAAATTATATATATATATATATAAGAGAGACAAATATATGAGTTGCATATCTATATCATATCCTTTCTACCTACTAAAAAAAATGATAGTAATTCTTTACTTAGAACTGTATGAGGTCTTGTGTGTATCTGATAGTAAACTCAGTTTATAATTTTCATTTCTAAAGGATATAATTACATACATCAAATGATACTCATAACATCAACATTACACTTAACAGCAAATGATCTCTTCAGAAAAGTTTATCAGTCCAAAAAAATCAAAAATCAAAGATCAAACTGAAGTCAAACAGCACAAAGAAACTTACAACAGGAAAAATAAAAAATATACAAAAATAAAAGTGTAGGAAAGTCGTGATTAAAGAGATATACCATATTTTTTACGCTAATCACCCAACTATTAATATTTTTCTTTAGTAACAACTATCAAAATGATGAAATTGCGCATCATTATTCTAATGCTGACAACAGAATGAACATTTATTTGGTTAGATGGGCATCTAAGCAATGAACGGCGCCCTGTATTTTTCATTTACTTTTCTTCTCTTTTCTTTTCATTTCTTTTTTTTTTTTTGACCATTATACTATTGTTGACCACAGAATGAAAATTTATTTGGTTATATGGGCAACTAAGCAATGAATGGCACCATGTCATTTTCTTTTTCTCTCTTTTTCTTTTTCTTTTTAAATAATAATAATAGAGCAAATGGCAGAATAGAACTTCTCTTTTTCTAGGTGTGTGCGCGCGAATGTGAGCAACCGATCAACAGAGGCATCTTTCATTCTCATTTATGGAATATGTGATGGTTCAACATCACTCTCATAAACCACCAAAAGTTGTAGCCTAGTGGTATTTCTTGCCTTCCAAAGTAGAAGATCGAGGGTTCAACTACCCGTAGTGACAAAGTGGGTGTGTGAGTTTTCTTGCCAATGTTTAAAAATTATAAATAAATGAATAAATAAAACATCTCTCTCACAAATTTTCATCAATCAATAAGTCCTACCACAAAATGCTTCAGGGAGCTCATCCACTCGTTGGGGTTTCCATTTCTCCATAATCCTCCGAGGTACTTGCATAGGATCCTCTATGATCTCCTCTGTTTTCCTCCCTTCCTCGTGATCCATAACCGTCACCATATTCTCCTTTGCAATTATTTCCATTGCCGGTTGGGCTCCAACGACACTATACCGCCCCTAACAATAATAACACAAAAAACATAAGGTATAAGAGATAGGGGGAAAACAAAAACAAAAATAAAATAGAAGACGAATAAAAACATGGAAGGAAAAGAAAAATATAAGTTTGGTTTTCAAGAATATGTTGGGAATAGAAAATCAATTAAATTTTTCAAATCTTCTAATTTTCATTATTTGGATCCTCAAGAAAACTAAAACCCACATCGAAGTAGGCCCAAATTCAAATGCTTAAATTTGTGGATGTAGCACCATTCCAATAGCATTTTCAAAACAATTAGATTCCAATGAAGAAATTTCTTTGATATGGCCAACTAAAAAAAAACTTTGATTTTTGCAACATAAGTACTCTCAGGTTTACAATAATAACACCGCCTTTTGGATCATTTTCTGGAAACTCTTCAGTTCTTGAAAATGGGAAAAGAAATGTAAGGACAAATTACTCAAAATTTGCTTTTCTTGGTTGTCCAACCAAAAAAAAAAACTGTTCCTGTAAAAATCCAAAAACGCCAATAATGTGGGTTTTTCATTAAATCCTGTTTGAATATTTTGAATGAATGTTGAATAGTAATGAAATAACGAAATATCACCTGTTCTCCATTTCTTTCTTTCAGTGACAAAATCAAGAACTAAAAAATAAAAACCTCAGAAATCCCCTTTTAGACGATATATTTTCTTTTCCTACATTCTCTCACCAAGCAAAAAAGATACGAGAGGGGTAAAAGAAGGGGCTTACAACACTTGAAGCCTGTAGACCAGGCTCCACCGCCTCGAATAGAAAGCTAGGGGCGTCTCTTTCATCTTCCCTAACCAAACAACGGTAAGCAAGCACCGGAGTCAAGTGATCGGAGAACACAGGACGGTACAGCGGAATCAAATTCCCATACTCCGCAGCTTCCTTGAATTTCACAGTTTGCTCTACTGGACGAGCCAAATCATATCATATCAATTCGATTATGTATTCACACAATCAATAAAAATAAATGAAAAATCAAGCATAAATATCAACATATCATTATGATCAAGATTGGGAAGGAAATGAGAGAGATTAGTACCTGCATGAGGAGATTGAGCGGAACATTTGAGTTTACGGACACGCGAGTTTGGGATGTTGACGAGAGAGAAAGAGGTTGAGGTTAGTCTGTGACAGGAGGTAAATGGCAGACGACGGAGGTCGGAGGGAAGAGGACGATGGGAGAGAACTAGGGTTTCCATTTGGTCAGGGGAGCATTTGAGAGGAAGATAGGCGGCTTTGCCCTGTTTGATTTTAAGGGCAAATTATAACGGAAAACTCAGGTTTTGCATGTTGTAAAAACGTGTCAATTTAATCTTTAAAAAAACAAAAAAAACGTGTGTCAATATATCTTAAACTTTGTCGGTTGTGAACAGGATTATGTTTTTCTAATTCAGGTTTTGCACTATACATATCAGAAATATTTTTTTATTACTCCGTAAAAAATTATTTTTCGAAGTGAAAAGAAGTACCAATACATTTGTTGGCTTGAACCTCAAATTTTCTTGCCTCATTTGTTTAAATTATGACATTATTATATACCGACTTTTTATTTTTGTATTTTACTGGACAAATTTCTTGCTTTCACTCTAGACACAAATAAATAAGTAGTTATGTTTGACAGTATAAAATTGATGTTTTGAAATTGTAATCGGTAAAATTCAAGCAAAGTTTAGTCGAAAATTGAACTAAATTTTTTTCTAATTCTATCAAATTCAATTTCAATTCTCTAATTTTATATAACTGATCATAACCTAATAAATATTTTAAATCAATAGCTGAGACTCGTGTAATTATAATATATCTCTGAAGAGGATAATCTAAATTATCAAATAAATTATTATCATGAATAAGAAACTTTTTAAAAGTATGAATATAGTCTTTAAAAAATATTATTGCAAATTATTCTTTAATTCATTGACGGGAAAATACTTTGTTGATTGAAAAATTACATTTTTCTTCCCATGTTAACAATCAATAAAGTCCGGTGATAAAATTTATGAAAATTCAATCAAATTATCTCTCGTCTTTGATACTCTGCTAATTTTCATGACTCAGCTCTATTCATCCGATGCACTAATTGGGATATTATTCTTTTATCTTTTTGTCGATGATATTATAATCACTAGAGATTACTTACGAGAATTCAGGAGCTCAAACAATTTATCAGTCATCAGTTCAAGATGAATGATCTTGGATGTTGGATCCCTCATTTATAGTTGCAAAATACATATCAGAACTACTTTTGAGAGTGGACTTAACTGATAGCAAAATTGTTGATATATAATTCGAGAACAACACGAGATTTAATCTACATGATGGCGAATCTCTTCAAGATGCTACATTGTAACGCCAATTGGGTGGTAGTCTGATTTATATCGTTGTCACTCATCTAGACATCTCTTATGTCATCCGTATAGTTAGTCAATTCATGCTTGTCCCTAGATATACTCATTTTATTGCATTTTTTTAGCATCTTCAAAGGACTATGTTTCATAGATTTCATTTCTATCCTCAATCATCACTTGTACTTCATGCCTATTCAGATGCAAACTAAGCAAGATATCCCACAGATCGTTGTTCCACCACAGGCTTCTGTTTCTTTATCGATGACTTATTTCTTGGCACAACAAGAAACTAACTATGGTTGCTCGTACAAAAGTTGAATATTGGGCACTTACTGATATTAATTATGAGTTTTCGTAGTTGCGTTGGCTCCTTAATTCATAACATGAGATTTTCATCACCCACTACCACTCCTATTTATTGTGATAAGGACAATACTTGCCTACTCACTGGTGAGTATGGAGTTTCCACTAACTTAATAGGTGGCATAATAAAATTATGACAAATGTTTCAAATTTTATAAATATATAAAATATAAAAAAAATCAAACCAAAACGTATTTTATTCATTTTAATCGGGTTAACCGCATCTCTCTCTCTATATATATCTATACACACTTGTACATACATAGGTACAAATTTAGCTTTTAAAGTAGAAAAAAATTAGGATTCAAGCTTCCTAAAACAATACTTTCCAAAAACAAGATATTCCTAAAACAATATATAGTTTTTGTTCTTTGGAATTGAAAGATCAAAATTTGGATTTCACCATAACTGTACAAATATAAATACATATACATAAACCATGTTATTAAAATACCCATTCACCTCCACTCCCAAAGTATTCCTCATTCTCATTGTAACAATCCTAAGTTGGACTAGAGAAGGGCAAGAACCTTTTTTTTAAAACACAAACCGGAAGCATTTTATGATTATAGGAATGGTTCTTCATATCAATCACATATTTTCCACAGAAAGTAGAGAGCAAAACTAACCCCTCAAAACACTATTGCTATATTTCAATTCAATTATTTTTTTTATAACGTCCATACACATATTCTGATATTTATAGAGATAGTGGTCAAGAATGTATACAATGTACTAGAGGAAAATTGTAAAATATACTGTGAATCCAATTAAAAATTGGTCAAACCAGTTCTAATTTTATTTTTGTTATATTTATATTTTATAAATTTTATAACACTTGTCATAATTTTATTATGCCACCTACCTAGTCAGTAGAAATTCCCTACTCATCGGTGAGTAGGCAAGTATTGTTTTTGTGATAATATGAATGCAATCCATATTGCACATATTAATGCATTTCATAAGCACATCAAATATATTGAAATCGATTGTCAATTTTTGACCTTATAGTTGTGGTCTATTACTTATTACGATGATAAATGCAGTCCATTACTTCTTACTGCTTTCGAAAATCTTATCTCAAAAGTCAAGATGACTTCATATAACCCACCTTGACTCTGAAGGGGTTCTTATCTTCGAAGTTAAGATGACTTCGTATAATTTACACCCCCATCACTTGCCCATTTTCCTTACATCGATAATTTAATTACCTATCACTGCCTACCATAATTTGTAGGGTACTCACCCCCTTCCCATTCATCACCTATATATATATATATATGTATGTATGTATGTATATATGTATATGTACACACACACGTGTAAATGCTTTGTACATTACAATTCAAGTATTTTGCAACAAATTTCTTCACATGTTAACAATCAACAGAGTCAGGTGACAAAATTCACAAAAAATAAATAATAAAGTACAGTGTTTACCATTAGTTTTCAATTTACTCCACTTTTAAAATAAAATAATACAATAACCATCAAACAAAATCGTATATATATTTGTAATAATAATTCAAAGCTAATATTTATTGTGCTTAGTTTAGTTTTTTTTTTTTTTATTAATTTTATTAATACTCCCTTAGATTTGACCAAATATTAACCTCAAACATTTTTCGAAAATAAGTATTACTTAGGTCCATTTTCATAGATTAACAAAATCATGAAACCCTAGTTTCAGAGTGCCCCTTTTTTAAAGACCATGGGTTGATTTTATACATGAGTTATATATATATATATATATATATATGTTGAATTCATACAACATAATCGACTAGTTACACGAATTAGAGAATGAAAATTTCTCTCTTTACAACAATCTTTCTCTCTATTTATATAGTTTATTTTTTTGGTTTTATTTGTTTCATTTTAGAGAAGTCAATCTCTTTTTGTCTCGCAGTTGCAGAAAGATCTTTAATTTAAGATTCACTCGTATATTTGGCCAAAGACAAAGAAAAGAAAAAAACTTTTATATCAATTGTCCAGCCTCACCTTCACCTTCTATTTTCTTTATTGCAGAGGACTACAAAAACCATCATTTGTTTGTTTAGGGGCTGTTTGCGAAAAGTCTGGCAATCTAAAATTTATATATATATAATGGGTATTTTGGTCACCTAATATGAGTCTTATGTAGCGGTTGAAGAGGGATAGTTGATTTCAATGGAAAAGTAAGCGTAAATATGTCATTTGAGTACTTAAAGAAAAAAGTTAGTTAGTAAAAGGAGGGTAAATATATCATTTGAATCATTAAAGAAGTGAGTCAAACCAAAGTTAAAAAGTAAGAATGTCTTTTTACATGTAAAAAATAATCTGACGCATCTGTCAATTAACTTTTAAGGTGTGAGTGAAAAACGGAGCAAAAATTTGTAATGTGAGTGAGAGTTATTTTTCAAAGATATTCGAGGGTGATATTTAGCCAAATTTCAGGAGATGTCAGTGAAATTATCCTTTTTATTTTTTTAATTTATTTTAAAGCAAAGCAAATATATTATTGATTAAAAAGGATAATACAGATAGGTGGGCTTATAGAGAAAATAAGCCCACAAAACAAGCAGACAATCAAAGGTGGCCCAGCAAAAGAAATAAGAAAACAAGAAGGCCGAAGCCCCAAAAACCCAAACAATGTTCTCCCAAACTGACAACTAAAAATGCAGAGGAAGAATGCTACTACGTATTTACAGAAGCACTAGACAATTCTTGCAGAATCAGAACTGATACGGGTTAGATATGTGTCCCAAATGCCTAAGAAATGTTATGAATTTAAATATATATATTTTATAAATCGGATACAGTGGAATATTTTCAGAATACGACTAAATAAAATCGAAAATCATTTTATAAAAAAATAAGGGTCTTGTTGTAATAATAAAAGTTCATTATTTAAAAGAAAATAATGAAGAATTTTAAAACTAATTTTTTTTTTTTCTCTTCTAAGACTTGAACCTGACCTCCCTTTAAAAAGTAAGTGGCTGATATCGCTGGGCCATTAGTCCGTTGGTATTTAAAAATTAAATTGATACTAATGAACACTCATCCAAGCGGTGTGAGAGAAAATAGAAAAAAAATAATAATAATAATGGAAATTCGGAGTCTAATAAGGAATGTATTAAATTATTAATTTAATTCCTTCAACTTCTAGGGTTAGGATTTTTTCTTTTGAGATAATTTAATTTTTAAATAACTTTTATAGCCTATATTTAAAAGTTCACGTATTCAGAAAGTATAAGGTGAAAAAGCACCCTAACATTAAAGATTAACTGGTAAAACATTAAAGATTAACTGGTAAAATCAATCATATCTAATTGTGTAATTTAAAAGAAAACAATCATTCACCTATAAAGATAGAGTTAAACTTAGAAGTATTAAATATTATTTGATGGAGTGCAAAGGCATAAAAGGTAGAATGCCAATGTCTCTCATTCATAAATTTATGCTACTTATAATTTATAAATAAATTATTTTAAAAAAATCATCAATTATCACAGGAATTTATTTTTATTGAATTATATTTTAAAAAGTAAAGAATTTGCATCATAGGCTTCATAGCCAATGTTGGAAAAAAAATACACTGATACGAGCCTGATAGGCTCATAAGTCATACCGTGTTAATTCGTCCAAAACCTACTACATAGCTTAAAAACATCCAATCCACACGAGAATCGAGATTCCTCGCCCCCAATGGTCGATGAATCTAGACCGTCGAATTAGTTTGATTGCATTTACTACGTCTGACCCCCTAATTTCATTTCAGAAATTCCAATTTATTTATAAAAAAAACCCAAATTCAAATATGTTTTGTCCAAACAGGGCCTAAATATCTTTTGTCTTTATTACCTACTCCATGTAATATATATATATGTACGTACACGCTCACACTTTTTCTCTCTGCGCCAACCCTTGCAATTTTCCGGTTTCTTTTCACAAAAGCTGCCGTGGAATATAGACACCCAGCAAGGTAATCTCTCTCTCTTTCTCTGTATGTATGTATGTATGTATGTATACATATACATATATATATATATATATATCCGTGTATATATAAATATAGTAATATAGGGTTTTGTTGACTACTTGTCTCAGAAACAAAAACCCTTAGAACTAGCTTGCTCTGATCTCAAGAATGGCGGTGAAACCTTCAAGGATGGAGAAGAAGATCAAGTACGACCAGAAGTTGTGCGATCTTCTTGATATGTACTCTCAGATCTTGATCGTGTATGCAGACAACGTCGGATCAAACCAGCTTCAGAAAATACGCCAGGGTTTGCGTGGTCACTCGGTGGTGTTGATGGGTAAGAACACTATGATGAAGCGTTCCATCAAGATGCATGTTCAGAAGACCGGTAACAATGAGTTCCTCAGTCTCGTGCCTCTTCTTGTGGTACGTCACGTTTTTATGTCAACTTTCTAGGTGTTTTGTGGGTTTTTCCTGGGCTTTGGTCTGTTTGGTTGGCGAGAAAGCGTGGGAAAGAAAAGAAAACTAAATGATCTGCTACGCGCTTCTTTTTTTCCCCTTTTTTGGTTACTTGGGACTCAAGAGATTTTTTTTTTTTTTTTTTTTTTTTTTTACTTGGTTAATATATTATGTCACTGCTCGATTTTTATTCTCTCTCTAATATTATATCACTGCTTGATTTTTAATTTTTTGGCTCTATTTCTTTTTCTTTTTTTTTTTTATAAATATCTTATTTGGTTGATGTATTATGCTACTGATCGATTTTTCTTCTCTCTTTTGGTTTGAGATTTATTTATTTATTTATTTTTGTTTTTGTTTTTGTTTTTGCAGAAGATATGGAATGGTTTTCTTTTTTAGGGTTTAATTAATTTCTGAAAATAAGATAGAAAGTGAAAAAGGGCTGAAAAAGTTTCTAAAATTAAAATTTCAGGATGTGTTTCCAGTTTTCTTTCAAGAAAATATTCTAAACATTCTACCAATTTTTTGTTCCAAAAATACAAGGCAATCCTCAGAAACACTCCCAAATGTGCACTTAATTTTTTGATTTATCTGTTGTCTCAGCAATCAATTGGAGGATATTAGTTTGATTATTGTTCTTTTCTCAAATTTTGTAGGGTTGGGTTATTTAATATACTCACTCTGCTCCTGTTGATGATGCCTAGTAAATAATTTTCTCCTTTTGAATTAGGGTAATGTGGGATTGATCTTTACAAAGGGTGATTTGAAGGAAGTAAGCGATGAGGTTGCAAAGTATAAGGTATGGTTATTAGTGCTACTACTATGATTAATATTGTTAATGTATTTCTATTTTTGTTTTTGATAGAGTGGTTTTTTGTGATAAGCATGTTGTAATGTTCACTTTAGACTGATTTATTATTAATTGATCTATTATTGCATTAGTTTCTTGATCTATCATTGTCAGTTTTTTGTGATAAGCATGTTGTAGTGTTCACTTTAGACTGATCTATTATTGCATTAGTTTCTTGATCTATTATTGTCATTAGTTTCTTGATTTATCTATTATTGTTTTTCTTTCTTCAATTTGTTTCCTTTTAATTGCGAATCATGCATTACAAGAATGTGCATCTTTGTTAGTCATGTCTGTCCTTCCTTATTCTTAATCTTATAAGTTAACCACAGCTCGCTATATGTGCAACTTCAAATTACATTATGATGCTTGTACATGTATTTATGCTACTAGGTATGCATTAGTATAATGTACTGTCACAATATATGCATTTAACTCAAATAGTTGGAGAGCAGCAATAAATCAGAAGATAAAAGGTGTAAAAGAATGTTTTTTAAACATGGGTATTTCTTGTTGTCATGTTTTAGCACATGCTTGACTCCCAATTTTCCCTAATTTCGGGGAAAAACTGAAAAGGGGTTTAATTAACCTGAATATATAGGTGGGTGATAAGTCGAAATTCGGTGTACTACATGTATTTCTGATTTCAACTTTGTTGGAGCTGGACCTGAAGGAGTAGAACATGATTGTACTATTTGAGGATTGAGAGCTGAAGCAACCATAATCTTTGTATTTGGTTTTAACCACAATAAAGTTTATTTCATTGAAGCACTTATTCAGATATTATCAGTTTAATTAATCCCATGCTTATGTGAAAACTTAGGAAATCCAAGTTCTTGCTTTGTTCTTAACTAGCAAATGAACTATTTGTGCTTGAGAAATATGTTTCTGTTCGAGGACATACAGTTTACTTGTCATAAATGACATTCAAGTTTTGACTACAATCTGTAAGAGTTTTCACTAGTAGTTTTTCATTAGTTTGGTCTATCATCAACTCTGCTATACCTTAATTAGCTCTCCTTGGTAGTTAGTATTGTTAATTTCATTAGTCGAATTTACAAATTGGGATGTACGTTGGTCACATTATTTTGTCTATTCTGCAATTTCATAGCTGTTACTGCTCATTTCATGGCTAGTTGATTTTGTAATATTTAGTATAAGCTCACGGAGTTCTAATATTTTCTTGAACAGGTTGGAGCTCCTGCACGTGTTGGCCTGGTTGCTCCGATTGACGTTGTTGTCCCACCCGGGAACACTGGACTGGATCCTTCTCAGACTTCCTTTTTTCAGGTTACATATTCGAACTTCTAGCACCACTGAATTTCTGCTATACTTGTAACCCTTTCACTTTTCAGGTGCTTAACATCCCAACGAAGATTAACAAAGGCACAGTTGAAATTGTCACTGCTGTGGAGCTTATCAAGAAGGGTGACAAGGTGGGCTCTTCTGAAGCTGCCCTTCTTTCGAAGCTAGGGATAAGGCCATTCTCCTACGGTCTCATAGTCGTCTCTGTCTATGACAATGGTTCTGTATTCAATCCTGAGGTGCTTGACCTCACAGAAGACGACCTTATTGAGAAATTTGCTGCTGGGGTGTGCATGATTACCTCTCTGTCAATGGCTGCCGCATACCCAACACTTGCTGCTGCACCTCACATGTTCATTAATGACTACAAAAATGTTCTGGCTGTTGCAATGGCAACCGAGTATTCCTTCCCAGAGGCTGAGCAAGTGAAGGAGTACTTAAAGGTTTGCATTTGGCACTATAAAATCTGTCTTTGTTTATTTTTTTACAGCAATATCTCATTTAAATAACAAAATTGCAGGACCCAAGCAAATTCGCAGTTGTTTTGGCTCCAGTCGATGCTGTTGATTCTGGGACTGCTGCAGCTCCTCCCGCCAAGGAGGAAGCAAAGAAGGATGAGGAAGAGGAATCTGAAGAAGAAGGCTTATTTGGTTTGTTTGATTGAGTTGTCCACGGACTGCTAGATGGAGTAGGGTAGCAGACCGAACTTATATTTTGCTATCATGTTTGCTTATGACATTTGGGAAACACTGGATTTAATTAGAAACAACATTTCTAGCTTCAGTTATTTCATATTCTAATCATATGCTTTTTCATTTGTGATAGTTCTATTTTAAAGCCACTGCAAATTTGTGGTTGAATCAAAACCCTAGGTAGTGGCGATTTGTTCCCTCTTCTAATTCAATTCTTGTCCGTTCATCTTTAGATGGCTGGCATTTTCAGCAACCTCTGGCACTGTTATACATATCTATTTATCACAATGTTCATGATCTCTTTAAGGAAAAAAAAATAAGTTCATGATAATGTCATTTTGGCCTAAGTCACACAATTCTTTCAAACGGGTGCCGCTCTCGGCTCCGTGCACATTTTCAATAGATATCTTGTGATGGTTTTCTCGAAATTCTCGGTTCGTAGGGTTATGGATGAGCCTACAAGTCTCTCACTTCTACACTGTTATTGCACATAGATATTCAATTTAATCAATTTTCCTTGCATTTGGATCTTACATACAACATTTTTATCAATACACCCGGTGCAGGATAATATAACAATTCTAAAAACTAGTGATTCTCTGTTTTAATTTTAAAAAGGATAAATCTGTTCCTTGTGTGAATTAATTACACCTATGTTCATCCATCGTCTTCTTTTTCTTACATTACTTTTATACTCTAGAAAGTTCTTGTTATTTTCATAAAAGATTTTTAGCATGAACAATGAATTACCTAAATAAAAACAGATTTTATCGGATTAAATTTAAAGAAAACATTTGCTCGCTCGAGTAATGTTCCATGGGGTTGGCTTACACCCGGACTGCTAAATGGCGGTACCACCACTCCTTGGTCTTCTTACTCAACAAAGGGAAGCCATGGCACACACAACCCATCCAGATACTGTCAAGAGACTGACATTTGGAAATGAATCAAAATTACTTTATTGCTAAAATGTATGTAATAGCTCTGCTATCAATAAATTCTGTTACAAGTGACATTTGTATATTACATTTATCAGTTTTTTCTTGAAAAATAAAGATATATATATATATATTTATATGATTGGAACTAATGATAATAGATATGTCAGCAGCGGCAACTCTTTGCTGGCAACTGGCTAATACCACATCTAGAAGTCTACCAACTGTTCTCTCCATTACTCCACATCTGATGAAAATAGACTGAAGCAATTGTGCCAATGCACTGATATCTGCATTTACAAAATGAAAATGTAGCCTATAAGAATAAGGCTAACCTGTAAAGCAAGAAAGAGAGAGAAGCATATATTTAACATGCATTGATGTCACAAAATGTCGTAACTCCCTATCCAATATCTAAAAGGACCCCAAAGCTTTCATGGAACCAAACAGAGAAAACTTGACCCCCTCCCAAATATAAATGGGCTCGTGCAGCCATCCTTAGAAAACTCGACCAGCAAATTAGCCAAGCAATGATAATTTTGGCCAAATATTGCAGTGTTAATAAGTATTTTATAAGTATTTTCCAATTTTAAAATATCTTGTGTCAGATTCCTTCCACCACCAATACCCCATATCACAAGTATTTGGTCTTGTGACATTGAACAACATCAGTGACAGACTGACGGTGTTGATTGTGTTCATTCTGATCATCTTGAAGAATGAGATGTGAAAAATCTAGGTTGGCAGGGTGGCTATTTTTGCCGAGGAAGAAAACATATTGGTTCTTACTGTTAAGAAATGAGTAAACCCCAGAAGCAGAGTGGTATCAACTGCCGTAACAGGTATGGAAGAGGGAGTATCAACACAAACTTAACTTCAAATGGCAGCTTAAGAAACAACTCTAAAAGCAATACCTTCTAACCTTTAAATTCAGAGTAAGCGAAGAAGTGAAAACGGAACATTCACCACCACCATGCATGAGAATAACCATGAGCCCATGTACTTATGTCCTGAACTACTGAAGGCAATTTCGAAATACGCGAAATCCCTGTTCCAGAACAATTATAATAGTGAGCCAAAAAATAAATAGTCCAAGCTATCTCAGAAGATAACTTTGTAATATTTTGGCAGATTTAAGTCTAGGAAACTTAGATTTATCTTTATATACCTGCAATGCAAAAGTAATATCTGCCTCGTCTACTTTTAATGTTACTCTTCTTAATTTATCTTCTCTAGATTGACCAAGTTTGAGAAGCCCCTGCAATTCGAAAAATGTCCCATTAGTTTGCCGATTTCATTATTTTTTCCAGTTGGTAAGCTGGTATTAGATCCTGAAATTTAGTTCAAATGAGGTTTATGTGCTCTGATATAAATCTTTGTGAAGATAATTTATGTCAAAGGATATGAACCTAATCAGCAAATGTAATGTCTTTTGCTCACCTGGTCACCTAGCACTCTGCACATGCTAGAAAGTTCCATGATTCCGACTGGTGGGATTAATATTGATTTGCAAATATCCATGTAAAATTTACTGAGCTGCATCCATATAGAAAACTCACAAATCAGTCTACTATTTTATTCCAAAGTCTTTTACTGTCAATACTGATAGGAAATATACCTCCCCTATGGTTGTATCCTTCTTTCCCCTACGGAATAGTTTCACAGCTGAACAAAGTATAATCTGCAGCATGAACACATAATTAAAAAGTTCAAAGACATATTTATAGTAACTAAGCAGTCAAAAAGTGATGAGCTAAAAGGCCTCAATTATATGGCATATGTTGTTTTGGGATTAACTTGGGTTCAAACCTAAGGGCTAACTAAATAAGAAATTTGTAGCAAACTCAAGCTCATGCAGATTGGGTTGGCTGCAATAAGTACTATGCCAAATATCTTATGATGTATCTAAAACTTCTCATGATGACCATCAATTACAAGCACCACAAGGCATGCCAAGATTAAATAAAAAGTTTGCAGACATCTATCAAAATGCAACACATATTGTAGGTCATGTTATGTATGTTATTAACTTATTAGCAAGAACCTACCTGTTGGTGTTGTGGAAGAGATTGTATAGTATCAACTATTGGTGATCTATACGTCTTTGACAAAGCAGTGGCCATGTGATCAACCCTCACCTGTAACAGGTTCCAAAACTTGTAAGAATAAAGAAGACAATAATTGACATAAAGAAGATATGGAAACTAAATCAGAATAAAAAATTATTATTACTTTTGGTAACTCACCCACCCCTAATTGACCTTTATAGGACTTAAATCTTCAACCTTCCACTTGGAAAGCAGAGGACATATGCACTAGAGCTAAGCTCTCTGGATATGAGAATTATTGGTTTAAAAGCTCACTAGAAATATGAGAAAACAATGATAACGAAATCTGGCAAGAACATTGTTAATGGTACTAAACTAAAGCGTTCAATCTCACTGGCTCCAATTACTACCAATCTTGCACCACAAAACTTAAATCTAATAAATATTTCAATGGAATATTGAGAATAAATAGAACAGCCAACAAAACATATGAAAAATGCTTAAAAGCTATGGCTGAAGGTGAGCACTTTTAGCTTCTTTAGTAAACAAAGTGCTCACAATTTTTTATATTTGCTGCAATGAGCCTGACATTTACTCAAGAGACAAGATTGTATATCATTTTCACAAGTCTATGCTTGGAATGGATAAAGAATGTTTACAATATCAATTTCTTGCTTTGTCAAACTTTCCCGAGCTGGAGTTGTATGTTGATCAAAAAGCACGTTTTCTACTGACGGCATATTTAGATTGCAGGAAGATTCTCTCAGCTCTGCTTCTAGCATCTCAATTGCACTCCTGGTACAAAATTAAAACAGTTAATATTGCAGTTTTTCCTATTATCCAAGCAAAATAACTGTATTCACCAGATCTGTATTTAATACTATTCTAGGTCCTTGGTTTTAGTCATTTCTAGCATTGGATTTAGACCTATCACAGAGCTGTTTGAAAATGCTGTGGTTAAAAATATTGGTTACAGGCATGCAAGAAGTCCTATATTTCCTGTCAGTTCTAATTTATTGGTATAATCACTTTTTCAATAAGAGCAAGGAAGTGCATCATAGATGTACTTCTAGTTCCATGCAAATAAATGAAAATGTAGAAATTGGTACAACCTACTTGCACAGACACTTGCAGACAAATTGGTACAACCCACTTGCACAGACACTTGCAAACAAGTGACTGCTCCTGTTGGACATTGACATACAAAACTTCCTGCACTACCTTCCTAAGTTTTCTTGTTTATTCTACAAAAAATTAATTAAATTCCACACAGAATATGGACTTTTCATATTTATAGAGTTCTAAGTGAATAAACTTTAACATTAAGATCATTGTTCTAGTTGTTATACAGACGTGGATGTAATCACTAAGATGCAATGTTATGAATCCAAACAGTACAAATTTAATTGTGGTTTTAATTACATAGCCATCTCCTTAAAATTATAGTTTATAAGCAGAGTTTACCCAACATTCTAATTCCAGATCTTATGATTACAAATTCAATATAGGTTACACAAAGTGCTTCAACAATTGCAAATCAAAAACCAACCTGCAAATGCATAAAGCTTTCCTCATGTCTCCAGAAGCAGCTGCAACTTTCTGCCATGTTTTACCCATGTCAGTTTCTAAACTTGCACACGTCATGATTTACAATACTGAATTCATGTGCCATATTTTAATAGGTAACGTGTAATAAAGTTCAGAAATAGTGATGCTTCATGCTTTATGTTAAGAGAAAATAGTTTCTCATAAGATGATATTCAATTAAATAATAGTACACAGATGGATATTCTCAAAAGTTGATGGCAAAATGTGGAGTGAGGAGAAGCAAACATGATTTGTCAGAAGACAGCTAAAAATCAATGGTGGTGACTTACTCTGGCACAGAGCTCCAAGGCTTGCGATTGAAAGACAGTGTAAGGAAGTACCTGTCAGAACATAATATTGGTCATTCTTAAGTCAATAATGAAAACATTTTACTATTTTTCAGAATTTACAAAATCCAAAAGAACTATGTTCATATAAATGATTCCTATAACACAGGTACTTCAACTTGTTGAATCTTGTGATGTTCCAATGGTACATAAAGAATAAGGCAAGAGAGAACTTTACTGGATTACTGGATTCCAAGTGAAATTTTATTAAGATCATTGAGCTGTTCAAATATCATTTAACTTGTATTTAGGACTGCTAGTCTATGTTCACTTTTTGTGGCTTCAAACCTTACATTTTTTATTCAGAAAAAATAAGAATTCTTTAGCCAGACTCAATGGGATGAGTGCAGCATGTTAAAGCAGACCTTCTTGCAAATGTGAACCTGACGAACTGAGAACATTTACAGCCAACCTGAATGAAAAATACTGATAAGTGAATGAAACATTCTCATTTATTCCAAGTTCTATAAGATTTATGTAACATAATTAATCAACAAGGCATGGAATTTCATTTGTTGCATCATAGGGGAATCTGGGCCATATTTATCTTTGAGCTAAGCTGTCTAAAGGTGTTTTTCTTCAAGGAAAAACAATGTCACAGTTGGTCTTCCTAATGATATTGCATGGACTAAAGAAAAGTGCTTGCACTTGTTAATGGATATTTAAAAAAAGCAGCACAACATTTACCGTTAGTCTCTGTTGAAGAATCGTGATGATCTGATCCTTGTAGTAGGCCCGAAAAGTTATAACCGCAGGCTTGCCTAGCATAAGAAACCAGTAGAACCAAAGAGTAAGTACTATTCTTAAACAGCAGAGCAAATATTAGAACCAGTAGTGCTCAATGCCTCCTAAGGTTGCTTATTGGGGATAAGGAAAAGGAGGAATAAACAGCTAGGAGATTTAGAATACAGCCAGCTATAAAATCATCATTCATAGTCGCTGACCTACGACCAGACATGAGACACCAAAACAATTTCTCTTCACTGATGGAATCCAGGAAGATAATTTGGTGACAATTTGAGGGTGCCTTCCCCTACCCGAATAACAACCAAAACCAGGATTGAAGGTATAATTTGGTACAAAGTCTAATACAATTGCCAAGACTTTACCAACTAGGCTGGCTGGCACATTGGCTATGAATCAAGTTTTGAAGAATATAATCAATTCAAATACAAGGCCTAGATAGCATCATATAGAGGTTCTTGAAAAAAGAAACTTCGTCCAACACACCCAATCATATCACAAGGACAATCAATAAAGATTTAACTGATAAAAACAAGTAATGAACTTACAATTCAATGATTGAAGTCTTGGAAGAAATCGATCTGCTAGGTCTATGGCATTGGCTACTCCTATAAAAGCAAATGAATTGTAAGTCTTGCACAAGTTAGCAAACAGTTGTTTTACTTGGAAAACCTGAAGTTCTTGAACTTTAAAGAACAGTGACACAAAAGGGCGGGAAACTTGTAACAATAATTTGCAATATAATACCTATCAATATGCATCTGGAGAATGGCAAAGTTGTAAGCATGAAAAGATCATGCAGCACAGCTCGGTCTCTAGTTATCAAATAATCCAACTCGTCAGCAATAATCAGCCTGTGAAGTTGTGAACAATGAAATCTACTTAGGGACACTGAGTTTAGTAACTAACTGTACAGACAAGATTCCAAGAAAAACTATGATCATATTTGATTCAACATGTACACCAAATATTATATGTAGATGTATGGTGGGATCTATGAGCACACATGGCTGAGGGAATGCAAACTTACATCATCTTCATGCCAGTTGATTGCTGCTTTTGAGAAAACAAATTCTGAAGATGCTGCAAGGGTGAATTAGAACCATTTGTTTTCTTCCGCAGCTGGTTCTTCTCTAGTATCTGCCAAAGCTAACAGAACATAAGCATTTGTGCCATTGCAGTGCTGATGCACATAAAGAAAAATGCTACAAATTTCACTACCTTGCTAAAAATTTCGGAAGTGTGTGCAAGAGAAGTACAATTTATGGCTAAAACATCTGGTGGCTGAAATCCTTCCTGATAGCAAGAACAATGATTAAATTAGTATACAGAAAGTAAACAATCCCACATCAAGATTATTAAGAAATTTATATGCAAGCACGGAACCAACAATCTTCCTTCTTGAGAAACCCGAACAAGCATGTAAATAATGTGCAATATTGAGATCATTAAGGGATTTCGATAACGTTTCTCTGTCCAATTAAATGGTATTTCCCAAAAATCAATAGAAGATATACATAGCAAAAGCTAAAAGGTAATGTCTTATTGCCAGTAAATAAAAGTGAATTTGCCAACAAAATCAACTTTACATCAACTAACAACAACCATTGGAATGGATTAAAATGGAGTTTAAACTTTTCAGATCTATTTATAGCACATTGCCATGTTCTAAACTATTCAAACTTAAAAATTGACATAAAATGTATTGATATAACTGACAATCATAAGTGTAAGTAATAATTAGCCCTCTTGTAGAATAAAAAGAAAAAGAAAAAAAGAACGAAGATAAGTTCAGCAATATCTTCACCTAATTATACACTAAATTGAAGAATGCAAGAATGTGTAAAATGATTGAACTATTCCAATTTTGCACTTAATTAGTGCTGGCATAATAATTGAAACAATACCAATTTAACAGAAGAATCAATAAAGGGTCATTAACGCACCTCCTTTGCCCAATCAATCAAAGACTCTTTAACTCTTTCCATCGACAGTGATTTCCCGGTCCCCGGGCATCCACACACATACAAACTCCCGGCCTTCTCTTTTTCTATGCATTGCTTACAGAACTCCAAAACTCTTCTCTGCTCATTTTCTCTGCACACAGTCATAGATGGCACGGTCGATACATGCAATGCCTCCTTCACTGCACTCAACTGTACCGGATCTGCGTACAAATCAAAAGCGAACCTAAATTAAAGCCAAATGCAACACATATCACCAAATTAAAACACAAAGAAAGAACATACATACACCTATATGATCACCAACATAATTACAGTTTAAAATTAAACTTGCCTCTCGGATTCCATTTTGGTTTATCGAGAAAACTATCTGACAATCTTTTCACCGGCAATTTGGGCGATTTCTCGCAACATTCTTCCTGCATTTCCTGCAAATTATTGTAAATCACTCATGAAAATTACTAAAACGAATCATGATATTGTTAGATAATGAGTGAAATGAGAATTTATGATGAGATCGAAGTAGTGGACTCACGTTTGCGGGAGTGTTTGGGCTGTGATTGATGCATCGGCGAGGCGATTTCCACTTCATCGGAGAACAAGACCTGGGCGGATTTCTCGAATAGATCGGACTGCCTTGCAGAACGGAATCGGATCTCAATCTCCGTTTCGGAGTGGTGTCGGCATTGGATCTCTCAACTTTGAGACGTAACGTTTCATTCAATTCGTTGCTGTTATTGAATGGAGATGAGACGATGGTTGGCATGGTTGAACTAATTGGAAAATGAAGACGGCCACGATATTCAGTAACAGCGATCTCGTTCGTCAAGATAATAGGTACAAGATGATGTGTATATAATGTACGCATATGTATATAAATAATGTTGATGTGTTTTAGCGGGAAATGCAGGACCATAACAATTGCGTTTTCCCGCCATATATTTTTTTTGTATTCTTTTCTTTTCGATAGGCTGTATTCTACTTGGATACAACTTTTAATTTTTTTCCCCCACTTTTTCTTATATATATATATATTTTTTTTTTGAGAGGGGGGAAATTTCTCTGACACCTAACAAAAAAAAAAAAAAAGCTTATGTTGATGTGTTCAGGTTTTCACTTCACCTAACTTAAACACATTTGCTTTAAAAGTTTAAAGTAAAAATTAAAAAAAAAAATTATAGTAATAGAATTTTAGTTAAGGAAACAAAATAAAAAAAATTCGGTAATTTCTGACTAATTTGAGAATGAGGGAGTAATTTATGAGTCATTTCTCAAAAGGTACTTTTAATTTGAAACACAAGGAGTTTAAGATTTGAGTTCTTTTCAAAAGGATGAATTTTATTATGTTTTACAAATTTTCAAATTCTAATAATATAATTTGGTTATTTTTTATCATATTATCTGAGAGATTTTATTTATGTTTAATACATAGTTATATATATTAATATTTTTTTGATATTTATTTATTAGTGCAATATTACAATTTGGATAACTCTATGCAACTTTAGATGTGATGAGATGTTAAAAACTTGAGTTTAATGATGATTAGCTCGCTCAACTTACACCCAAGTTTCATTCCCAACTCTTTCGATAATTGCTTAATATATGTGGATGGAACTACAACCACACTTACTTGGCGACGGATTTTAGGAAGCTCTTAGCGGCCCGACACAATCATTTACAATCATTTTTGAAAAAAAGAAGAAAATAACAATTACTTCATCGGTCCCAAATTAAACGTTCTTTTTTTAAAATATAACTTTTTAAAATGATGAGTTTTAATGTATAAATTTTTGGACAATATTTAAGTCGTGAAAATTTACGACATATTTACCGTTGATGTGGACCAATAATAAATAGATACGTCATATTTTAATTATCAGATCATAAGTACGATTTACTAAGTGAATATCTACCCATTAAATCGTACTTATGATCTGGTAATTAAAATAGAACGTGTGAATATCTACCCATTAAATCGTACTTATGATCTGGTAATTAAAATAGAACGTGTCTATTTATTATTGGTCCACGTTAACGGTGAGTAAGTTGTAAATTTTCACCTGTGATGACCTATGATTACAGTGGGTATGTGATTATTTACTTTTTATAAGTTTAAAGGTTAAATTAGTAAAGTCAAAAAAAAAACACTACTTTGACTTTTCAAGCATGACATTTATTTTAGAACTTTATTCTAGAGCAGTAAAAAATGAAAGGGCAGTAATTTATTTTAGATATGGACTGCTATTGCTCCAATATGCTAAGGTACACTTGATTGGGCTCATTTACAATCAATTAGCATTGGGAACTGGGCCATCTATGGAGCGGCTTGTACACGTTGGGCTTCAAATTAGCTTAGTGTGTAGATCCCGTCTACCTATTGTTTGGGCCAGTTATGATCTGATCCAACAATCTGAATTGAAGATGGGTTCATCTAATCGGTTAGAAAGTTCTATTCGGGTAGCAGTTCCCATCTATTGGTTAGATGAGTGGGTAGAATTAGATGAATTATGAGATTCTTCGCCAACTGTCTCAGGATGTCTCGACTTCTTCCGCTGCACCATGCCTGATATCTTCGTCTTTAAGGTTTTTTTTTTTTTTTGAGATTCTTAAGATTAGCATTGACATTCTTAAGATTAGCGTAGTTTTGGGCTTCATATTAAGATTCGGTGTTTGGTGTAACGCGTGGCACATAAATGGAAAATTATCATGTGTAATATGTAATGTATATTTTTATACTTCGTTTGATCTCAATCATTAGGCACCTGTTTGTGAACTGATATAAAATTAACATATGCAAGAATGTCACTGCCACTGGTGCAGTTATATCAAAAACCAACAAAAAGCTCATTCCCAGAGGGTTAGGGTTTTGAGCTATAACACAAGGCGCTTTTTGTTTATTATACGAAAAGTAGAGTGATTAGCTAGACTAGTAAGGTCACGGTACATGAGACTCATATTATTATGGGTTTGGTTTGTTGTACGTAAACTTTATGCCTATTATTTCTTTATTTCAAATTCGTGACATGGAGATTGCAATGAAATAATTTTATCTTTTTGTAAAGGTTTGTGAAACTAGCTCATAATGTTACTAAAAAATTTGTGAAATATTTTAAATTATTTCAACATATATATATATATAAGAAATCAACAAGTTCATATTCCTATTTATCCATTTTCCTGCATTTTATATTTTTCATTTAGTTTAAGAAAAGTACTGGTGGACTAGACTATTCAAATCTGGTTATTGCCAACTCCAATTGGTTATGATTTTTTTTATTTTTTATTTTTTGATGTTGAGTAATGTCAAGTCTCTTAGAACACTTTATAATTTACCTTGAACATGTTTAAAAATTTGTCTCTGCACTAAATAATAATAATAAAAAAAATTTCTTCAAAGGCAGTATGTCCCAACGGGATTTGAATAATCAGTTAAGATTTTAAATTTGTATATATGAATTAATTGTTGTATAACAGTCGTTTCTTGCATTCCAAAATGTCAATAGGTCATTTGCCAAGGTCAACCCTAGTCAACCATGTTAGAAAAAAAATGTAGGGTACAAATGTCATATATTGTTAGCTTTACAAATGGTAATTAAGCATTTAGTACACCAGGGCTGAAAATTCTCCCTTCATAACTACAATTAACTCACAAAAATAATAGTAGTAATTTAAATTTAAATGGCAGTGAGTGGATAATTCCAAAAAAAAAAAAAAAAGACTTTCCATATTTCACCAACAATAGTAATTTCAATGACTAATAATTAACTAATTACTGTGGGTTTAATAACGAACCCACTAATCTCTCCACCCCTCTTTCGACTTTTGTCTGATAGAGGAAGCTCAGGAGTTACAGCCATCTTTGATTCTCATCCGTTGGATCAACTTTCAAATCAAAGGTTATCAATCAGCCCATCTATAAGCTCATCACAAGTATGATCACCACCTGTTTGTCCAAACTATTCTCCTTACAAGCTGAGAGAAGGCAAAAAAAAAAACACAACCCTTAATCAAAGCTAGTCTTGAAGCAATTTTTGTTGCTTAAAAACAGTTCTTTCCCTTCTTGTTTAATTAGCTCTCCTTTCATGGAAGGTGGAAGTGGAGGTGGAGGTGGAGGTGGAGGTGGTGGGGGTTTAGGGTATGTGAATTTACAAAACGACCCTCCTTATCGACCTAGTCCTCCATTAACAGCCATAGATAAGTTCTTGTGGGGTGGTGGTCAAAACCATTGTTTCTCGCAGCAACCAACTCTAAAAGATGTGAACAACAACGGAACACTCAATTCTGCAAATTGGTTATGTGATTTTTCTTCTTCTAGTGGTGCAATTGGTAGCTATGGAGTTGGGGTTTCGTGGCCGAGACAACACGAGGAGTTTCGTTTTGTTGACGGGCTTTTTCTAGATGGAGAGACTCTTAACTGGACAAACGAGATAAATCATAACTTGTGTTTGAAAGAAGAAACTAAAGTGACGCAGAAAATTTCGAAAAAGAGAGTGAAAGGTGGCTCTTCTACAACTTTGATCAAAGGGCAATGGACAGATGAAGAAGACAGGTCATATATATATATATATATATATATATATATATATAGGTTTTTTTTTCTTAATTTTCTTTGAATTTGTTAACCCATGAATATATATATTAGTTGGTTGATCTTCCACCATAGTATAAATTCAGTCAATACTAAAATATTGTATAAATTTGTTTTATGAAATAAGAAAACTGCTTAGGTTAGTGAAGCAATATGGGGTGAGGAAATGGGCTCAGATAGCTGAAAAGATGGTTGGTCGAGCCGGAAAACAGTGCCGGGAGAGATGGCATAATCATTTGCGCCCGGATATCAAGGTTCTTTTCATTTGCTTTAATTCTTCTGGAGTTTTGCAAAGACACTTTTCTCTTTTCTGTCGTGATTTCGGTCAACTTTAGTATTGTATAACTAATTGTCAAGTTATCTAACTAGCTTCTTTGTACCTCTCTACTATATGATTGTTAGATTCTAAGTAGATTCCTATATATTCTGAGTATCTTAGAACCGAGATATATTTGGTTTTGTTGCTTGTTATACGGAGTAATTATTTTCAAGTAGTTTACCCAAAAAAAAAAAAAAAAACCCTAGTTAATTTTCCTTTTTTCCCAAACAAATTGTTATATATATACTATAAAATATTGAAGATATGAGGTGTTGAGGATTTATATATAAAGGAGTTGTATTTGTTCATCTCTAGTTTTTTTTCGTCTTCTTTCAATATTTTCTTTTTGGTGATGATCAGTTAATTAACTTCCATTCTTAATTAAAACAGCCTAGGGTTTTGTTTTATAGATCACGAAATTTGACATGCAATCCTAAGGTGAGTTTCGTGTCCGTTCACACCATCTCACACCCTTTCTTCCGTTATTCCATGTATCCATGAGATCTATATACTTGTTCATGTTCAGTATATGGTTTTTTGTTTTATTATCTTCTTTTTTTTAATTTTTTTTTTTATTGCCAATAAATAAATATAAAATCTCTTTAGGGTTTTGTCTTCCTTCTTCCATTCTTGTTTCAATGTTCATTTCCATGTGATTTGGGAAACTTTTTTCTGACAAAGCATCTTGATTGTTATAAAAGTCTACACCTTTAAATATTTCCATATATGGGAAAGTTCTTCTTGGAGCTATATATATTACTTGTTCTTTTATTTTTATTTTACTCAAATTGTTAATTTATATGCATCTGTTGCATGCATTTCAGAAAGATAGTTGGAGTGAAGAAGAAGAGAGGCTGTTGATTGAAGCTCATGAGAAGGTTGGGAACAGATGGGCTGAAATTGCTAAGCGAATTCCGGGACGAACTGAAAATTCAATAAAGAACCATTGGAATGCCACAAGGAGGAGGCAGAATTCAAGAAGACCGAAGACTAGGAAACCACAATCAGGCCAAAATGGAAAGACTCCTCAATCATCCATATTACAAGACTACATCAGAAGCAAGAATAATAATCCGAACGATATCAATACTACTTCAACCACCATTAGTACCCAAAGCACCAACATGATCAACTCCCCCACCGCCGTGTCAAACCAATTCACTGACCTTTCTCTCCCCGAACTATCTGAATCCCCCATTGACGACGACTCTCCACCATTCATGACTCATACATATGATGATGAACTGAACTTCATGATGAATTTTTTTAATAATGACAACAAAAAAGTCATGGATACAGTGGAAGTGATCAATATATCCAACGATGATGGTGTCAATAATTCTTCGGCCTTAAACCACCCTCCCGAGTTAGGGCTACACAGTGGTGGTGATCATTTGCTCCATGAAATGGTTCAATGTGGCTGCTCCTCTACAGATCATGTAGACCAAAACATGTATGTACATGCCCAAAAGAATGAGACTTCCAAAACCCATCTGTATTCTGATCTTTGTCTCTCCTATCTGCTAGATGGAACCACTTCTTTGCCTTCCATGGATTATTGCTATGATACTCTGAAGATGGACTTAGGTCAAGCTTCTCCAGGTGGAAAGAAAGAGATGGATCTGATAGAGATGATTTCTTCTTCTCAGTTCGGATCCCAAGGTAATAATATTGTTTTGTGATTTAAAGTATACTGGGGACTTCGTTTGAACGGAATAAAAGTAAGAATGATTATGATGATGATGAGTATGGTCTCTTTATTCCCTCCGTTTTTAGGGTTATGTTGCTTAAAACTAATTTTATGGTTGCATGTAGATTTTGGGGTGTAGAAAACTAAACTATTTGGCTCACTTTAATTTAATTGGGAAGAATGGTTGAAGAGAAAAAATTGTCAGATTAAAATTTGTTGGTTCATGTTTTGTGGTGGACTGATTTATTTTGTTCATGTAATGTGTATTCATTTAACAAATACACATTTTGTCAAATTTTTTTTTTTTGTTACTAATTAGTTGCATTAATTGTAACAATTTCTTTTTTCTAATTATTAATCAATTTCTTTTTCTCATTTTCTCAACCGCTTCTTATGATAATCAATTCGTTTTCGATAGAAGTTTTATAATTTTTTTGAAAAAAATACTCCTCGTCTTGTACATCAAAATGGTGTCAGCTGGAATACCATTGATCCCTATGAACAAGAGGAGATCTGGGTTCAGAAAACATACCAACTGGCCCTTGTTGGCTAAGACTGATGAATTAATTAATGCAATAAATGAAACATCAAGATAGGTATTTAATTAATGGTGCATTTGAGTTAAGTTGTTTCCATGTAGCTTTTTGTCAATCATGATCACCACCTTCAATTCGATGATTCTTACAAAATGGATACGGACCGTTAATTTTATGGACATAATGAGAACTCCAAATGATAAATAAATAAACAAATAAACCTACAATAATCCGAAAAGAAAAAAAAAAAATGAAGAAAATCAAACAAACTCATATCAATATACAAGTCCAGTGTTGTTTACCGGAAAAAAATAAAAACAAAAAAGGTCCAGTGTTTAGGTAAAGATATAGAAGTGTACTAACAAACAAATTTGGACAACTATGATTGGGTTGGGCTTTAGGGTTTAGCTTGATTAGACTCTTTTTTTTGTACCACTATGACTCTGTAACCGTTTAGGCCTGTTAGCTTTTGATCGGATTGGGGGTAGTACTCCCAGGCCCAATTATACCTATCGAATTTCCTAAATAAAAAGATAAAAAATTGAAGAAACAACAATTTTATAAGGTTTCAACATGCACCATGGGCTTTATTCACATATAATCGTGAATTTGACGTATGGAAGGACGGTTTTTTGACTACATATATAAGAAAATTAGTAGCAAAAAAGAAAGTAATTGCTTAAGAAAATTAAAAATATAAGAAAATTATCTAAAACTAAAAACTCTCTTAAAAGTATAAAATAAAAATAAATAAATAAACTTTTTTTTTTTTTTTTTTGATAAGTGAAATAAATAAACTTAATTAAAAAAATATTAAAATCTGTCCTACAGGCTTCATTTGCTCTTGTTCCCCATGGTAACTGGTTTTGATTAGAAAGAATGTCGAATGTGAATCAAATGGTTTACATGTGTTTGTGTGTGTGTATATATATATACATAATTTTTTTCAAATAATAATTTCCTTCAATCCCGTTGATTAAACATAGTATTTTAATAACAATTTTTTCAAATGTAATAAAAAATCAGCATCCCATCCGGTTCACACTAGTACTCTTCAAACTTGCATCTTTGTTATACCCTTGCATTGTCGACTTAAAGCGTGCCTAATGGTTGTAGAGTCGACCCCAAAATGTACCGGAGAATTTAGGTCCAGAATTAATTTCCTTTTTGTTTAGTCTGGCACAAAATCTGCCACGTGTCAGTTCTTCCCATGCCAAGAGTTTATATTGTCGTTATATGAGAAGAAAAATAGAAATAAAAAAAATGAGTGATGAGGATAAGACGCTTATGGAGAACTCGCGGTAAAGCCATCTCATGTAATTCTGTATCACAACCTTCACCTCCATCCAAAGGCTCATATTCACCCAATAGGCCCCCCAAAACCGGTATATTTATCTGACCCACATTGCTTCTCTTCTCCATTCCCTCCACCACACCTTTTGACTGATCATTGAGGTGAGCTGAGCAGAGATGGCTTCTCTGAACGTGTTATTCTCTCCGGCAGCCACCCCCAGAAGAGTGTTTGCGGCGTCCGCGGCAAAGAGCTCCGTAGGAAGCAGTGAGGAGAAAGGGCTCTGGGACTGGATCATTGGGGGCTTACAGAAGGAAGACCAGCTGCTGGAGACTGACCCAATCCTCAAGAAGGTGGAGGACAAGAGTGGCGGCACCACCGGCCGGAAGAATTCCGTGGCGGTTCCACAGCCCAAGAAGAACGGAGGCGGGTTCGGTGGTTTCGGAGGCCTCTTCGCCAAGAAATGATCAGTCTACTCTCTCTGTCAAATACAGTTTGTATTGTGTTTCCTTCTCTGCAATTTACACACTCTTCTCCACACTGCATTATATCTAACCATTCTTCATACATTTCGAATCTGCTGCAAAGTAATCTATTACCTTCAAATATTTGGTTAGTTGATATGTTCTACTTTTACAGCAGTATTACTAGAACAAATGCAGTTTCATTTCAGCATATGAACATTTGGTAATGAGTATCACAATTCACTAAGCAAAAGTATAAACAAGAAAAAAAATCATCCAACTGAATAAAAATCCATTTAAGAGACAAATAGCCAACTCGAATGATCAAAATCATGAATTTTTGTCAGTGAAGTTCAGGTTAAAATTTTGAAATATGGTGGAACTACTAAAATTTTTCTTTAAATGAATCTATACATTCAAGATGGTTAAAGTTCACATTAAAATTCCAAACAGAAACTAACAAAATAGTGTGGAGTCTATCTAATTTTATCACACAAAATTCAGATTCAGGAAACGTAGAATACAAAGAGAATACCAGAACTGTAACCTTGATGATGAGACTAAGACATATAACTATACAAAATTAATAAAATAAGATTTTCAGAAGATATGTGATCTGATGTATATCAGCTCAAGATGATTTTGGCACTGACAATGTCTCAAGGGTAACAATCTCTCTCCAAAATGGGCAATTAACAACTGCATTTCACATTGCCTAAATCTAGGTTGTTCCTTTTTCTCTTTAACTATAATCATCATTTTTCAGGTAGACAGAAACCAAAGCTAACCACAGGAAAAAAGAAGAATAAGGAGACACATCCAATAAAAAAAAAGAATAAACTCATCTGAAAGCATTATGTACCACACGCAGCTGCTTAGTTTGCCAAATACTTTACAAAGGAAACTGGAGCTGATTCACTTGCAAAGAATTATACCGTGATCTTCAATACTGGCCAAGGGCCAAGATTTTCTATCAACTGAGAACCGAAAAATGAACTAGCTGCAGAGGTAATCCGTCTTGAAGATTTTTTATGTAACAATGACTTGTTGCCTTTTCTGCATTTCAACTCTGCTTCCAAGGGTGGAGGAAGCAGGTGATTGAGAGCTCAAACATCTTAGGAGTCATGTTGGTTTAGTTACCTGATAAGCACTACTCAAACTGTGAAAATTTCAGCACTCTCTTTCAGTTGAATGCTTCGCAAAAGAAGCAATACTTAAATATAACCTGATAAACAGATATCGGACAAACAGAAAAAAGAAAGAAAAAAATAAAAAAACAACTTTTATATTGGGCATGCCAGGAATTCAAATACCCTCCTGAATAGGAAGAATTCTACCCTCTGAACCTACTTCAAGAAATCATATGCTCGGCAGAAGGACGCTCAAGGATCAGAAAGGAAAATTTTCTTTGTTCACACAAAATCACCTGAAGGAAAGCAAAATCTGTTTATCCCCTTTGTCCATAATTACTAAGTACTAACACTGCTTTGCTCGGTTTTAGAAATCGTTTCCCCATCATGACCACTGGCCACCCTATATGATAAATAGATGTCCTTGCAGCATCATAAGCTAGAGAGGAACCCCTACATAAGGAAAAAGGGCGAGAATATGGCGTTGCTTAATATTTTTACATAAATCAGTGCCAAACCCTCCAAAAGAAGGTTGCATAATGTTTCACAATGTATGCTTTTAATCTGAACACTAAACACATCTTTCTGAATGAACTACAAAGAACATGCCCTCAATTCAACTTCTTTAAAGAAAAGAGATACTGAGAGAAGATGAAAGCACAACAGCAAGGTTATACGACCCTTTAAGCGCTATAGAGCCTAGATATCTACAACAAAATCTACAGAAATTTACTACAGAGAAACAGGTAGGCCAGAAATGCACAATAAGGCAACATCAACAGTGCACAAGGGGAGAGCATATCTTAAGGTTTCCTGCACTTGGTAATGTACAAGGAGGGGTCACAACTTCAAAGACTTCGTATATAAAATTGAGCTCATTACCAAGCATTTGACAATACAGTGATTCTGACCTGTGATACTGTACATTTTACATGTAACAATTGGATCATAAGCTCATTCTAGTGCATGGATCTATCTAATTGAATTTTAACGAGAAAAAGGTACAAAGAATGAAAGTCTTGAATTTAGGATTTAGATCATTGCACTTCAAAAGAAAGAAGAAAAGAAAATAAATTCTTATGAGCTAAAAGCACTCAACAAAATACAAGACCATGCAATTCAGATACAAGTCAAATTCATATTCATGAGAGATTTCATCTAATTTTTTTAATGAATTTTACTCACAGTAAACTGTAATAAGGTCAGACTGACAGCTCAAAATCAGCATCCATTATCACCAACCAAAAATATGTATACAACTAGCACTTTTCCTGTCTTCCTAATTTACATTGCCAATTCAACGCTTTTAGTTTGCCAAGAGAACGCCATCATTCACCTTGAAAAGAGAACATTCAAAAGAAACTAAATTCTGTAATGAAGCTGCTTCTCAAACTGGTATGATACAGTTGCTAGCTTGGAAATATGCGTATCTAGAAGTCCTAAGGCAGCCACAACCCAAAAAAGAAACCTCACTGTTCATCATTCATGACAAGCAAAACCTCTGCGCCACCCGAAATGATGTAGTCCAAGAACTCCCTAACTTCTTCTGTATCTTTAAAAGCATAAGGACCAGTAAAATCACTATCCAAATTATACCAAACCCCATCGATCCTTCTCAAAGCAACCCAATGCCTACTTCTCCACATCCCACCATACTTTCTCACTCGAATGTTCAGCACAATACCCATTAGTTTATCATCAGACCCATCAAGATCAATGCCCGAACCTCCATTACGCCGATCATGCCATACTACCCTTTTACCTTTTCCTTCAAGTGCTGCAATTAGAACATTTATATCATAGTTCCCTGTAAGTGCATTATGATGAGGCTTGAAGATAACAGATAAAGGTGTCCAGGTTGCATTGTTTGGATCATCGAGAACGAGTCTTTCAGCAGTGGCATTCAAAAATTCACGAGTGAATGCGTCCTTTTCCTAAATTACAAAGAACTTCTTACTACAAATTTATAGAAAATTCTCAAAACAGAAATAAAAAGGAATTAAAAGAAACATAATTCACTTGAAGAAAGTCCATAAATAGTATAAATCAATACCAGAAAACGAAATAAAAATTAAGAGATACAACTAGGTAACCGTTTGTGTTTTATAGTATAAATTTCAGGAAGACCTAAATATTCAATATGTTAAAAATAAACTTTTCACTCTTTTTCCAAAAAAAAAAAACCAGCAATTAAGGGAATTTGAGATACTCATTAAAAAAAAAAAAAGGGTTTTGAGATCGATTAATTTATGAAACAAAAGATTTCAAAACAAAAGTAAAAGATACATATATGTGTGTGTAAAGGGAAGCAATAGGTACCTGGAAAAGATTGTTGAGTGAGTGCAAGAGGCAGAATTGCAATTTTTGCCTCTCGTGATATATCTGCGTCTTCTCTTTCTCTTCCTCTTCCATCTTCAGTAACTCCACTTACTTCCCCTTTATTATAACAATTCTTGAAAGCGAAAACAAATTTTTTTGATAATATCTATATATATATATATATACTGTGTATATATAGAGAGATCGCGACAAGTAAGCAAGGGATGCGTTGAAAACCAGGGGCGTGGTGAGTCGGTGACCGAGCAGCGTAATATTTCGTTATCATAACCCTGTCTTTTCTCATAATTACAAGAACCTCCTCTTAAATTTATTAAATTGCGATTAAGTACCTCATCTTGGTTTCACTTTCAAATACAACCCCTTCACTCCTGTCCTATACATCCATAGTTGTCAGGTGAGATGAATCCCGTGAAATTTATGTCGTTGGTTTGATGTCAGGTGAGATGAATCCCGTGAAATTTATGTCGTTGGTTTGAGGACAATCAAATAATCGCAATTAATCCATATATCCTCTATTTTCATTTTAATTTACTTATGAATTTATGATATTCTGATTTTTTTTTTAATTATATAAGTATTAAAAAATAACAAAGAGTTTAAATTGAACTCCCATATCTTCACGCACTTTCTATGACTTAATTTCACTCTTAATATTTTTCTCTCGTTGACCAACACTCACATATAACATATTTGTATGTTCTAGGGATTTAAACCCCAAGATCTTAACCTCTAATTTTAACCGTGGAAGAGGTATCACTGGACTATTATTACACTTAATTATTAGGTGCTAATGTTATTAATAAAGAGTTATAATCAAACATATATTTGTGAATTGCAGAAGTGGTATATTTAGTATACTTCACTATGAATTGGGGATTTAGACCACAAGATCTTAACCTCTAATTTTAACAGTGGAAGAGGTATCACTGGACTATTATTACACTTAATTAGTAGGTGCTAATGTTATTAATAGAGTTATAATCAAACATATATTTGTGAATTGCAGAAGTGGTATATTTAGTATACTTCACTATGAATTATTCACGTTTGACTACAAAATTGAAAAGAATCATTCAATAATTTATATAACTTTTTATTGCTCTTAAAAAATTACTGAGCTCATAAATCTTGTTTTTAAGTAGTAACTTTCAAATAATGCCATCTTCCTGAAATTGTCAGTTTGCATTTTAGCATCTTGCAAGATAGAAATGGTTTCAGTTTATTTATTTATTTATGCATAATACATGTATTGATATGCACATAGGAAGATGATTATATTGGTACTCTTCGTCGCTCCACATTTTCTATGGATGAGAACATAATTCCGCTTCCGCTATGCACATTCTCCTAAAGTTGATGCCCTTAAAAGATACAGAGCTAGCGCTAGAAGAGAGAGAAACGAGAGGCATAAATGCAAGGGTTTCAAAAAACATGGAACTTATATACGCGATGCCTCCTCTACAGTAACCTGGTATAAGTATATTATTAGTTTGGGCCATATTAAAACGTAGAACATATCATAAAAGGACATTAACTCACTAAAATTATTATTATTTTGGCCACATAAATATTCACACCCTAAGAGGCTCAAATCCTCACTCCTATCTGGAGATGTTATACAACCTGCGCCAAGCCAATGATCCCGCAGTGATTATTTGCTAAACCACAAAAAAGTACAATGGGAATATATTTTATGAATGCTAAAAAAAAGTGGGCAATTGACACTATAGTTTCTATGGTCGTATGAGTTCGAGTGTTGGTCTTTGTGTAATTTGCACCCTGTGATATTGACCATGGCGATCAGGAAGAGAAAGAACTTCTAATACATTAATGTCTACCAGAGAATGGAATAGGGATAGATTTCACAGCAAACAAGGTTTAAGTGAGAGAGTACACGTTGCTATATATTCTGTCATCTATAATTTCTCAATCTTCTATAGTCTTGAGAGCTGACTACTCAGGTAAGCTCTCTGATTTACCCATGGCACGAGTTCGGGTGCCGATGAAAAGTTCTCCTGCCACATTCATACAATAATTTATGGATTGGGATCAAGGTTAGAACCTCAAATATTAACTTTAGAGTTGGTGACTCAGAATTACGAAAATTCTAAAATTATGAATGGAAATTATTGAAGAGAATTTTAAACAAACCATGTGTTCAGAACAAATAACATTCGGGCGCTTATTAGACAGGAAGCCCCAAAGTTCTGAAAATGGATAAACAAGCATACCATCGGTCACATACATGATGAAAAAGCAAGCATGAAGTTCCGCATCTTCTGAATAAAAGGTTTAACTAGGCCAGTATTTTCCACTTCTGAATATAACTACTAACAAGAGAGCCCTCTTTTCCCTGTCCACCAAGACACAAAAAATAGAAGAAAGAATTCTTTAGAAACAACATCAAATGAAATATCAAGGTTAGAAGTGATAAATATACAGCAAGTTTTCCCACCTTTTGAGTGTCCAAGAATAATAAAAGGAAGAACTTCTAAAAAACGAATCTCAAATATACAGTCACTCCCCATTAGTGCAAAGAATCGGATGGAGAACATGAAAGTAAGCAGGCTTAAGGAACTTTCTGCAATCTCAACTACCAAGTATTTGACAATTTTGTCTGGCCCAGTTTAGCGCAAAGAATGAAACTTCTCCTACCACATTCTATTTGTGGATGGAAAATGAGATAAGACGACAAATTTGTACAATAGAATTTTAACCACATTGCAGGTTATTTTTTAAGATTTAAAAAATCGAGTTTGGGGTGTTGTAAATTTCATTCTATGACAAGGCTCCACTGGCATGGTAGTGAAAGAAAATTAGGTGTATTTTTTCAATAAATTTTCACTAGCCAAAAATAATGCATGATAAGGCTCCCCCTGGCATGGTAGTATAAGAAAATTAGGTTTCATCTCGCTAGAGATTTCAATAAATTCTGACCAGCCAAGAATAAATTATGATGAAAGCATGAAAGAAAAGAAAAAGAAAAATTGTCAGCTTCAGTACTTCCTGGCCATATCAGTTATAAGCCTGACCATTATGCTGAACCAGCCCGCACATGGATCAGCTAACCCAAACCATAGATGGAAGCTCCCTCCCTGTGAAAGCACAAAAAACAATGGGAAAGAAACTGCACACTCCCTACGCAGGCATTATCCTGTTCAGGTTCAAAGGGACTTTCTCAGCCTGACCTGCCCGCACCCTAGCCATACAGCTAGTGCTGAAGCAGATACGGACACCCCCGGTGCATTTCTTATGTCAATGGGAGAGCAAAACAAACATCAACTGGACAGAACATGCCGAATTTATTATTATTATTATTACAAAGGTGCTCCAAAACGAGCAGATTAAAGACATATTAGTCTCGAGCTATTAAATAAGCTAAAATTCGGTACTTACAAAACAAAATGAAGATTGCAGAACTCCATTCTTGACTGACTAATGATGTGCCAACAGTCCAAGAAATTCCAAACTCATTCTCCATATCCACATATCCTGCAAAAAAGTCCTATAAGATAACCCAATTGGATAGATGTAAGAAAATCAAGACAAGGTGATAAATGTAAAAATTAAGAGACCTAGATGCCTATAGCTGGACAGAGACAACAAAATGCATTACGATTTACCATGTCAGATAATTCTGGCTGCTGGGGCTTCTAGTTCAACATTTATATACCAAAGGATTTATGAAAAGAAAATAAGGTTTTCTTTAGGTAACCTTTCCAAAAAAAAAAAAAAAAGTTCTTCACCAAATTTTCACATTTCCAGCTTCATTCCCAATAATGTAAAGAATTTAGGTACGCCACTCCTTTTAACTTTTCAAGTATAAAAAACCCCGTCCCTCTTTCCTTCTCTCTTATTATAGATATGACACCAAAGTAGTTGAGTGAATTTGTTTCTTAGACACATATGTCATGGAAGTCATGATGCTGGCATTCCATTAACATGAAATCAACTAATACTGACCTTTAACTCTTCAAGGATTTATTTGATTTGCTGGCAAGTAGATTTCTCCACCAATCTCGCCATGTTGTTCCCCACTGACAGTTTTCTTTGCAGCCAGAAATTCAGCACTCATAGCATCCATCCCATGCTGCACAGCTTCCTCAGCACTACCATAACCATGCTCCTCAGCATACTTCCGCACATCTTCTGTTATCTTCATAGAACAGAACTTAGGCCCACACATAGAGCAAAAGTGTGCCACTTTGGCACCATCTGCTGGCAAGGTTTCGTCATGGAAGGACATTGCAGTCATGGGGTCCAACGCTAGAGCAAATTGGTCCATCCATCGGAACTCAAATCTTGCCTTGCTTAGCGCATCATCCCAGGCTTGAGCATGTGGGTGACCTTTCGCCAAGTCAGCTGCATGAGCAGCTATCTTATATGCAATAACCCCAGCTTTCACATCATCTCGATTAGGCAAACCAAGGTGTTCTTTTGGCGTTACATAACAGAGAAGCGCAGTACCAAGGGCCCCAATATTGGCAGCACCAATGGCTGACGTGATATGATCATATCCAGGAGCAATATCAGTTGTTAAAGGTCCAAGAGTGTAGAAAGGCGCTTCATTACACCACTCCAGCTGTTTTTCCATGTTTTCAGGAATCTTATGCATAGGTATATGTCCAGGTCCTTCGTTCATCACCTGAAAAGGCATAAACAGCATATTGCATATCAAAATGGTAATTCAAATGCTAGCTAGGTCAAAGTGAAATTTTAAGCAAGGAAAGTGACACAGAAAAGGTGCAACAAGCAATGCAACAATGATGTTAAAAGGCCCAATGGAACAAAAGTTTTATATTCCCTATAGTGAAATATAATATCCATAATATTCAATTTGACAAAGGAAAGAGTAATCTACCATATTATAAAGTATAAACATCCTACTTACCATGGGAGGGGGAAAACATCCTAAGGTATTGCCCAAATATGTATGCAACTGGATCAGAAGTTAATAAAGTTACTGTGCATATAGGTTAACAATCATATCATTACAGAGCAATGATTGATGCCCTACTTCTTATATAATGCTCTTTTGAAAAATCAGAAAGAAAACAGTAAAAAACAAGGCTTGAACTCTATAGACACTCCTGCTTTATAAATTTAGATTTTCCAAAAAAGATTAATGGCTTGATATGGTCAAATTATATGTTCAATGCCTTTTCAGCATAAAGATTAAGTTGAAAATTTTATATATATATATATATATATATATATATATATATATATATATATATATATATAATGCAGAAGAAGAATGAGAGAGTGACCATTTTTTAGGATTGGAAAGTGATAATTTTTTAATTTAATATTAGCCAAAAAAATCTATGACTTGCCGTATACATAGTCCTTCCCCCATTTTTATCAAAGAGGAGACTACAGACCGATTTCCTGCAAATATTATATATTTACATGGCCTAACATATTCCGTTATGTCATTACCTGTACATCCTTTTCCCAAGCTCTACGCGTCAGTTCCCCTTGAGTTAATAGCTCCGCAAACTGAGCAGAATCATTGGCATCATATATTGACCCAGGTCTCAACCCATCACCTATTGACAGTGCTACATCGTATTGATTACAGATGTCTAGTATGTCATCCCAGTGCTCATAAGCAAAGTTCTCTTTGTGATAAGTTAAGCACCATTTTGCATGAATTGAACCCCCACGAGAAACAATTCCAGTCATACGCTTTGCTGTTAATGGGATGTATCTAAGCAGAACTCCAGCATGGATTGTGAAGTAATCGACACCCTGCTCAGCTTGTTCAATCAGGGTCTCTCTGAAGACTTCCCAGTTCAGATTCTCTGCAATTCCATTTACCTTTTCAAGTGCTTGATAGATGGGCACAGTCCCCACAGGTACAGAAGAGTTACGTAGGATCCACTCACGGGTTTCATGGATGTGGCGACCTGTCGAGAGATCCATAATGGTGTCAGCACCCCACATTGTTGCCCACTGAAGCTTTTGAACTTCTTCCTCGATGGAGCTCACAACAGCAGAATTTCCAATATTTGCATTAACTTTCACCAAAAAGTTTCTTCCAACTATCATTGGCTCCAACTCTAGGTGCTTCTTGTTGGAAGGGATGATTGCCCGCCCACGGGCAACCTCTGATCTCACAAACTCTGGGTCAAGCTTCTCACGAGCAGCACAGAACACCATTTCCTCAGTTATAATCCCCTGCTTAGCATAGAACATTTGAGTGTATCTTGGTCCACCTAACTTCTCCCGCCTGTCAATCCAGTCCTTGCGCAATTTAGGGAGTCCTGTCGAGAATAAGCCATACAGGACTCTTAAGAAGGATATCATACAATTATTACAAACTACTTTATGATGTATCTAACTTATTGTCCTTCAATGTAAAAAAAAAAAAATGTCCATAAAAATAAATAAAACTTTGAAAGAAAGAAAAAAAAAATATATATATATATATATATATATATATATGACTTTTTTTTTTTCTTTTTTTCTTTTTTTTAAGGATAAGAGTTACCATTTGATCATGGAGAGGCTCAGAAATAGTTCGAAACTATGAAAGAGAGAAAGGAAGTCAATTCATTCAATATACACAAATCAATAATTATGAAGTAGAAATGTGGAATATCATAGGATATTAAGGGAAAATTTAGGCTCATAATTGAGATCCGTAATATATCAATAATATAAAAATAAAGGGTAAATTACAGTGACATCCCCTGAGGTTTGCCGTAATAACAGCCATATACAAGTTGGGCATTTTTTTTAACAATGACACCCCCTTGTCAATTTTTGAATCCAAACAGGGCCTAAAAGATGTTGAAATGTCTACATTGCCCTTTAATACTTTATTCATATTTGATAAAAGAATATTAGAACCATGAAATGACCAAACTGCCATTCTTTTAAAAAAATCAACTATTAACATTGACACCTCACCATAATCCCTCTCTAACAGTACTTTGCAAAAATCAATATACATGTTTGTGTGTATGTATATATATAAAAGGTGATCTGGGAATTGAAGTTGCCGACAGTGGAGAGGAGTCACTTAGCGGCCTGAAGCACCACTGTAGAGAACAGAAAGGCATGCAGATTCTCTTGCTACCTAACCCTTGGATCATGACCTATGTTACATGGACTCTTCAAAAGTAGTGAAACACCGTTGTCGGACAGACATGGGTATGGGATATGTGTTCGGCATTTTTGGCTGGACATGTACTTAAAAAGCATATCCAATCATTCAATTATATTATTACTTTAAAATGAGTTAAATGCTTCTATTGAACACTATATTAGATAAAACATTACTTTACTCTAAAAAATAAAATAAAATAATTAAAAAATGAATATTTAGCAATGTCCGTGTGTCCTGTTTGGAGATTTGTCATGTCCGACATACGGACACATCGATACATACCCGTGTCCGATACATGTATCCGAGTCCATGTAACATAGATCATGACAAACCCTCTGCAAATCTTACTGATGATGATGACCACCACCACTGTATGTTGGCAACGACCAAATCAGCGGTGATGACTGTCATCTTGGTCGAGGTGTAATTCACTCTCTTCCCGTAAGTTTCTCTCTCAATTACATACCTTTTTGTCCTTAAGGATGCCTATGTTGGCATTCGGAGCTTGAGTTTGGGCAAACAAGTTCACGGTTCCAAGGTGAAAATTGGGTTTGGTATTGATCTGCATGTTCAAAACACTATGGTATTGTTGTCGTAGAGGTGGGGTTGAGCACTTTACCAAACCTGAGAAGCGTCAGTGTTCAAAAAAGGCCTAACTTGATTACGATTGTCATTATAGCAAACCTCATGCGGTGTCATTGTAATTTATCCAAAAATAAAATATATAAGAGGAAAGAAGTAAACTTGTTATAGTAGTGATCATGCACATACTGCACATACTAAAGTATAAATATGCAAGACATCAAACATAAATCATCATACTAAAGCAGTACAAAATCAAGTAGCCAAGAGAATAAAAACTCTTAGAGATGAAAAATTATGTAAAAGCAACACTTTTGTGCATACCAATGCTTGGGCTAATGTTTTGGGGGCCACTAGTGTCGTAGGTGTCAAAATGCGGTTCATCCCCAACTAGGTGTACCCTTCTAAATGGAACTTTGAGCACATGGCCAGATTCTTCATGAATAACATCCCTGTAAGGCAGATCCATGCATCAAACCTATGCAAACTGATGTATCTAAGAGCATGCGTTGCATAAACATGTGAGTACATGCACACAAGCATGGGCATAACCTTTTTTTGCAAATCTAACCATGAAAAATATCACCAATTTACATATCTAGAGATGGGAACAAAAAAAATATGTAAAGTAATAGAAGCAAATACACACCTGTACTCTTTTGAGCTCTTTGGGAAACACTGTTCAAAGGATGGAAGTGGGAGAAAATCAGGGGCAGCAGGATCGACTGTGTGTTTCCTTTGTTTAGTTTTCTCTGAATTGGTTGTTGAGGGTTCAAAGGTTAATGTGGCTCTAGGGCCTAAAGAGGAAGTGAGACATATGTCCTTCCTCATACTAGCAACATTCCGAACCACATCAAACCCAGGCAAGAAGGTGGTATTTGGCAATTTTGAGGCAGCAGAATGGTTGCCATTCTTGCATACAATTGATGTCAAAGTAGTGTTCACTGATGCCATGTTTGGAATGAACTGAAAAAAAGAATAGCACAATGACAAGGTCAAAATCTATTAATAAACAATTAATTGACATGGATAGCCAACAAAACTAATAGAAATTCAAAAGAATATGAACATAAGGGACTGTCTCTTCGCAAAATGATAGGAATAAGAAACCTCATAGAACAATTAAATTTTGAACTAACAAATCAAGTAATACAATTATATTAGGCTCCTAGTATTCTTGTGAATCATCAAAGATCTTAAACAAAAGCTTATTATATATTTAAAAGCCATTCTTTAGTATGACATATTTCAAGTTTAAGTGCACATCAATGCTCTCTCTTTGGTTCCGCATTATTATGTTATCAATTCTTAGGGCCATTTGCTCCTGTATATTTATTTTACCAGTTTAGGGATGTGAGTGCATTGTCAAAGTTTTATTTATTTATTTACAAGCCTCTTCCAAAATCTTACAATTCCTCAACCCAATTTAAAAAATTTTGACCGGCCAAACTTCTTGAAAATATATTTGAAACATTTCCCCTCCCCCTATCAGAAAAAAGAACCCAAAAATCTGACAAAAAAGCTTGTCCGATGACGGCATCTTGGTATGAGCTCCTTAGTTCCCAATGAACAGTTTTTTGTGGCTAAGCTTATTAGATAGTGGTCCTAACACCGTGAACACAGCGCTAATATTACTAGCAAGCGTACATGTGCATGTAGCAATCTCAAGTTGCAATCTCTCTCTTCTAGATTAATTTCTATGACCTAAAAAGGGCTAGTCTATCAGATAGTGGTCATCTAGCACAAGTTGATTTCTATGGCCTAAAAAGGGTAGTCCGGTCACGAGGCCGCCATATTAGATAGCTGATATATAGTAAAAAACATGGCAGGATATGCTGGTGAAAAAGACAACTCATAGCAGACATGATCAAGGAACTACGACATACCCTATCCTACCCGTATTACATTCACATAAAACATGCTAAGAAAATTGGGAAAATTACCACCAACTCCTACTTTTCAAATTGGAAGATCATTAAGTCCAACTTGAGATATTTTCCCATATAAGTCTTTAAGCCACTTACTTAATCTTCCATTTATACCCTTACTAAATTAGATATAATTTTGCTAAATTAGATATAAAATTTAGACTCAAGCTTTCATATATACTCTTACAAAATTCGACATAAAATTTGAATAAAACGAAAAAAATAAAATGTTTTTTTATAGAATAATTATTTTTTGTATTAGAATAAATTTTAAAAAGATTAATTATCATTTGAACTCACAAAGCAATATTATTAACTAACTAAAACTTAAAGGAATATACGAAAAAATAGATTATATATCAATTCAGGAATAAATTTATGATTAGAAATTCTACTTCTATTTAGTTAGTTTATAAATGGAAGATTCCGTGATTTATAACTTAAATGAAAAAATATATATTCTCAAAAGTAGGACTTATGGTCCTAAAGAATTTTTTTAAGATTTATTTGTCTTTCAATAAATAAATAAAAGTAGAACTTCGAAAAATTGATTTAAATCTTTAAAATTCACACAAAACCTGCAAAAATATCAGATAATTGGAAATTTTAGGTTGTCGAATGCACATATACACCTCTCTAATTTAGAATCACAGAAATAATAACAGAAAGAAACTATAAAAAGCAGATCACAATCCAATTAAATGCTATTATAGCATTAAGATGTACACATTTAGCTTGTAAATGGTAAGAACAAAAACATGCTAGAAATGATGAAACGAAACAAAAATCAGATCACGATTTCACATCAATCAGATTCAGTAGACACCTTAGGGTTACAATGATCAATTCAAGAAGTAACGAAGTGAAAGTCCAGGCAGAGAATAGCGATTAAGCTACTATGTATTAGATTATTCGAATTCATATATATAGATATATATATATATATATATATATATATAAATCATAGTCGGAATTGTAGAAGAGAGAGAACACGAACCTCTAGTCTGGTCTTATCTCTTCACTCGCTACGAGAGCACTAACTGAACACGTCGTTCACGGGCTTAGTAGCGTTATATAGAGAGAACCTTTCGTATCCTTCAAAAAATACCCAAAAAGCGAATGTTCACGTGGCAATCATATGAGAGAGTTATTTGTGGAATGTTAATAGACAGTAGTTATTGACTTACAACGATTGATGTGATAAGATCACCCAACTCACGCGCCAAGCACCATGACTTTTTTTAAAGGTCTGATCAGCTAGATCGATCAGGACCGTCTGTAATTGAGTTAACTCGTTGTCACCGAGTCATATCTGTTTGCTGCTATATGCTAATTTTTTTTTCCTTGCTATTTGCTAATTGAGTAATACTATCAATCAAACACAATATAATGTTAGAAAATTTTCTAATTAGTCCTACTTGACATAAATGAAATCTTTCACAAAGACAAATAAGTCATATTTTTTAAAAATATTTTACAATAAATTCAGATTATGTGAATAATCAATATTTTTTGTCTTCTATTGCTAAGTTACCATTACTTTTTTATTTTATTTTATACTAAAATACAAATTTTCTCTCTAGTAACTAATTACTTTTATAAAAAATTATTTGTTGCCAAAATAAATAATTCTAAAAAATTTAATAAAGCATTTCAAATACATTTTTCGTAAATATTCACATATTAAAATATAAAGTAAAAAATTCAAAAGAATGAAAATAATTCATTTGTTACATAAATGTATTTAGTGAAAAAATATCATTGTATTTTAACATGTGAGTATAAACGAATTTTTCGCAGCGTCTAGACTACTGAAAATGGGAATATTTGATTTTGATTTTGGTTTACACGTATTTTTCCTTTTTCTTACAAAATAATCAACTTGTTTTAGCACTACTACTTATTACTTATTAGACAATACAAATGTTTTCACTAGTGAGAATTTGCAACATACTCCTATTTTTATTACCAAATCATAGATGGTAATCAAATCTCTGATTTGGTGAGTGAATATCTATCTACCAATGGGTGCACACGGTCCGGTTTGGAGTGAATTAGGAGTATTTTGGGACCAAACCATTTATAACGGTTCCACTATTTTTAAAATCAAACCGAGCCATAATGTCCGTAGAACCAAATCAAACCAAACCAAACCGCGAAAAACTGGTTTGATTATGTTCGGTTTGTCGGTTTCAGTTGATTTCCTTTTTATTTTATTTTAATTTAGAGGGGACAAAGTTTTAAAAAAAAAAAAATTTAAAAAATAAATAAAGGAAAGAAAATGGAGATATATTTGAAAAGAAAGAAAATTGAGATATATTTGCAAAAGGGAAATTTGACTTTTTTTTAAAAGAAATTTAAGGAATTTAAAGAACAAAAGAAAGAAATAGGGCACGTGAAAACTTTACTTGATTTAGGTTTAGAATATGATATATATATATATATATATCACATAGTAACAGTTCGGTCCGGGCTGGTTCGGTCCAACATGACCCTAAACCAAGACCAAACCAAAAAATTGCAGTTTCATAATTTTGGACCCAAGATTGAACCAAACCGCTATACAACTAACCCAATTCAGTACGGTCTGGTCCGGTTTTTCGGTTTACCGGATTTTTTAAACACCCTTACCGGGACCACCATCTTTGATTTGGTAATTAAAAATCATATATCAATTTATTATTGATTTACATAAGCGATGGGTATGTTATAAATCTTTACTAGTGAGACCTAAATATTATCCTTATTTTTACCATAATCATCACATTTACCAGTATTCATACGTTGAATTTCACATTTTCAGCATTTAGTTAGTTTGGTTGGAGGCCAAGTCTTGTCAAAATATATATTTGATGTGAACTAATTATAGTTCACACTCAATTTGGTAAAATTGAAATTAATGTTTAACATTCTTGGCAGATATTATATTACAGTAAATAAATGTCTTTATGTATTTGTTAAGATTAAGGTTACCTCAGCCTTTATTTCCATCAATATAAAAGGACAAAATTAAAAGAAAAAAAAAATATCACTGTAAAGCCTTTATTTCCATCAATATATTTAATTGCTTTAGATGCATAAAGTCATAATTACAAAGTGTATGCCTAAATACCATGATTTTTTTTTTTTTTCGTTAAATACATCTATGAATAACAAATGAATTATTTCTATTCTTTTTGAACTTCTTCTTCATATTTTAACATGTGAATATTTTTTTAAAAAAATGTATTTGAAATACTTTATTAATTTTTTTAGGATTATTTATTTTGGTAATAAATAATTTTTTTATAAAATTAATTAATTACAAAATAATGATAGTAGAAAGAAAATTTGTATTAAAAAAAAAATGTTATTGTAACTTAACAATAAAGGGCAATATTGAAAAACTGTTCATTATTCACACGTAATCTGAACTTATTTGAAAATACTTTTTAATTACGATTTTTTTTTTTTTTTTTTTTTTTTTTTTTGTGATTTCACAGTACTTATTTATTTTTAGAGCTAAAAAGTAAGACTAATGGGGAATTTTTCTTATAGTATTTGAATAAGGAGGAGTAGTTTAACTCCACAGTTGCTCCTATAATATTTGTTTTTTAAACGCATTAATTATTGTTTCCTATTTGCATGGGGCTTTTAAAACATTACTTTTTGACACAAACATTACTTTTAACAAACTTATTAATATAGGAATAAAATAAATAAATAAAATGATATGTGAACAAAAAATAATAATAAATAAATAATATGTGAACAAAATCCGTTTATCCACCACCACTTGATAAAGGAAAGACATACTTATTATATATATGCATTTTTAAAAAAAATTTGATAGTGTTTGATAATTCAATTTAAATTTTTTTAAAAATATTTAAATAGTTATTCAATTAAGATTATTTAATTATGCAATTTAAATATGGTCTAAAATAAGTCAAATGTTAAGTGTGAAAAAATTCATTTACAATTTTACACTCTGGCATTTAGCACTTGAGAGTGTCTTATGCAATTTAAATATGGTTTAAAATAAGACAAATGTTAAGTGTGAAAATTTTCATTTATGTTATGTATATATCTATCAATGTGTGGGGTCCACGAATTCCAAAGGCATCAATGAAGATTATCCTGTTGGTGTATGGAGTAAGATTGCTTTATTGGCTTACAAGAGAAGACTCAGTATATGCCTATAAATAGGCTTCATATGTATGAAATGAAAACGTGAAATAAAAATTCTCTCTCTTTGTTATACTCGTTCTCTCCCTCTATATCTCTTTCTCTGTGCAAATTATAATACAAATTATACTATACACACACACACACACACATATCTATTTATTACACGTTATCAGCACGATCTCTATTCATCTGAGAAACTTTCTCTCCCTCTTTCTATCCCAACTATATATCTATTTTGTGATATTAGCTTTGATAGATTGTTGGGTTTGTTTACTTTATCGAAGAAAATAGTATTTCCGATTCCAAAGGTTATTATGAAAATGTCAAATTTGACAAAGCTGGAATTCGTGGCCCTGGATATTTTTGGTAAAAATTATTTATCTTGGATTCTGGATGCTCAGATCCATTTGGTTGCAATGGGCCTTGGAGACACAATTAAAGAAGAAAATGATGCATCATTACAAGATAAAGCAAATGCCATGATTTTCCTCAACTGAATACCTCACTGAAAGAGATCCACTTTGTTTATGGAATAATTTGAAAGAAAGATATGACAATCAAAAAACAGTTATTCTCCCAAAGGCCAGGGCTGATTGGCAGTAATTGAGGTTACAAGATTTTAAAATTGTGGCTGAATATAACTCTGCCCTATTCAAAATCAGCTCTACATTGAAATTATGTGGTGATATTATTACTTATGAACTTTTTCTGGAAAAAACATTCACCACATTTCATGCCTCGAATGTGCTTTTACAACAATAATATCTAGAGTGTAGATTTAAAAAATATTTAGAGCTGATATCATGTTTGCTTATGGCAGAGCAAAATAATGAGCTTTTGTTAAGAAACCACCAGTCTCGTCCAACTGAATCGACACCGATCCCTGAAACATATGTTGACTCATCTCGTGGACGCGGACGTGGTCGTGGTGGTAGAAATGGCTACAATAATGAATATGGTCGTGGTAAAAATAACTACCACAATAATAAATATGGTTGTGGTAGAAATCATTCTTATTACCGTGAAGGATATCAATCCTCACATTTTCGCAATCAGAGATCCACACTATATCTCCAAAGGAGAGATCATAATGAAATGAAATAGGGAAAAGGGAAGGATGTGGCTCAACCTTCCAAGACACATGATAATACCTATTACCGATGTGGAATGACGAGGGATTGGCAAAGCATTTGTCGTACACCTAAGCATCTGGCTGAACTTTACCAAGCCTTAATGAAAGAAAAGGGGAAACAAAAGGAAATGAATTTCCTTGATCATGATGAGCCAGTTGACATCACAAATCTGGAAATGAATTTCATTGATCATAATGAGCCAGTCGCAAATCTGGGTGTATCAGATTTTTTTGAGGACCGTGATGGAAAGATAGACTTCCTGATTGGTGATGGAAATGTCCACACCAATTAAACCTATTTTCTTTTCATGTTATGTCTACTATGTTTTTATTTTCATTGTATTAAAGTTTTTATTTTCTAGTTTGTATTAAAGTTTCTTTTGTTATAAAAGTTTCTTTTATAATAAAGAAATTTGCATGCATAGGAATGAATCTTACTAGTTCCAAAATAAATGGAGAAGATATATGTCTTGCAGATAGTGGAACGACACACACAATCCTTTGAGATCAAAAATATTTTTCCCACTTAATTCTAACAGACGCTAGTATCAGTACAATATCAGGTCCCACCGACTTAATTGAAGACTCCGGACGAGCCAACATCATTTTAACACATAGAACAAGATTACAAATCAGTGATGCCTTATATTCTACAAGATCTCGGAGAAATCTGTTAAGTTTTAAAGACTTGCGTCATAATGGGTATCATATTTAGACTGCAAATGAAAGAAATGTGGAATATCTCTACGTTACTTCCATTACCTCAGGCAAAAAGTTGATATTAGAAAAACTCCCTGT